TTTCTTCCGAAATAACGTCTAGTGAACCTTTGTCTTCACTAGCTAGTAGGGAAGTTATATTTACGGGTATCTGGTTTTTATTATTGATTAAAAAATTCAATAAGATATGCGTTGCATGTGCATTATTCCTACACTCGAAGGATCACCATCATCTCTTATCATATAGGGTGTTTTCAAAGTTGAGTCATTTATTTTACGAGCTTGTAGAACTCGTCAGAAGAAATTGATATACCAAAAATCACCTATATAAAAGTTGCATAATATTATTGAAAATTATTAAATAAAATCATTATCAAGTTAAATGGATGCTATTTTCACAAAAACTGTTCAAAATTGTCTCCATTTGTTGGATTAACGCAAAATCTTGCTCGGAGAATCCGTGACTCTTTTCAACCTTCGAAAATAAAATTCTGCTGTCCACGAACTAAATCACAAGCATTTTCAGTGCGCTGTTAAAGTTCTTGCAGAGTATTTACTGCTCAATCATGGTACACCAACTCTTTCAAATAGTCCCACAGAAAAAAATCGCAAGGCGTTAAATCCGGGAAGCGAGCAGACCAAAAAAAATGGGTCCAATCCATCTATTCGGAAACTCGTTATTCAGATGTTCATAAACTCCTCGACTAAAATGTGGTGGACCCCGTCATGTAAGAAATACATATTTTGTCTCCCATTTAGAGAAGCATCTTTTAACAATTGTGGCAGATTGTGTCGAAAAAAATCTAAATAAATTTCACTGGTCGGTCGAGATGGAAAAAAGTAGGGTCCAATAAGCATGCCATTTACCACGCCAGCCCAAACATTTATTGAAAATCTATGTTTTTTCACTGCTTGCGGATTTTCTCCTGCCAAAACATGATTGTTGTGGAAATTGTGCAATCCATTTCGTGTAAATGTGGCGTCTTCTATAACGCTTCTACCCGTTGATAATGATAAGGATAATACTGTTCTTGTCATATTGTCTACCACGCTCTACTATGAGAAACTTCAACTGGTATGGCTCTACTACTCATTGTTGGGTCGTCTTCGACCATTTCTCAAAATGTCTTTCTTAATTTGTAACATTCAGGTTAAGCAGGTCTTCCAGCATGACCTTCTCATTGTTCTTTTAAATATCCTGTATCACGAAGTCTAATAACTAAATCCGTGGGGCCGCATGATTTCTTAAAGGAAACCTTTCCGTATACAATCTGCATGCTGCGGCTGCATTATGTTGTCACTCTCCTAATGTTAGTTTTATGTCCACTAGTTCATTGTTTTCGTAAACGTGGGCCACTTTTTCGCACAAGGTAATCAGACAAACGAAAGTACTACTATATTATCAAGACACTGATACAACTGATCGAACAAAGGACTCGTACTGAAAACCATACAATAACACAAAAAAATGGCCAAATTTAGTTAAACCTTAAGAGTAGTAAACAAAAAATGCTAAGATTTTACACAGCAGTGGTCGAAAGAATAAAAAAATCTGTGTAATATCATTCTTATTTTTTAAAATGTTTAATCTTTTACTATTTCTTTTATTGTGCAACTTTTATATAGGTGATTTTTGGTATATCAGTTCCTTTTGATGAGTTTTACGAGGAGTTAAAATAAATGACTGAACTTTGAAAACACCCTGCATGTATACCTGTTAATATGTGGTATGTTTTTGGGTAAAGTAAGAAATAGGAGGAAAGATGAACTCTTATCATCCTTGACAGTGTCGTTCCACAAAATTTCCCATACTTTAATGGAATAATTATAAATATCCCTCACATTAACCATTCCTTGGCTGCGGGTTGACAATTTACTTGCCTCTTTTGATGCAAGGTCGGCCTTGAGGTTACTCAGTATCCCATTATGTCCCTTAACCCAGAAAAATATAACTTTTCCACTGTTTTTGAGTTCTAGAAATATTTGTTTGATTTTAAGGATTGGAATGATGTATGTATGTCTAATGCTTTCACTACGAATCGACTATCAGATAGAATGGCCGCCCTTTTGAAACTGTTGTTCATATACCAATTCAATGCCCCTTCAATTGCACACGCTTCAGCGGTATATATAGTTGCGAAGTCAGGTAACTTGAAATGACTAGTAAAATTATCTTTGGTATACAAATGCGCTTCCTACGCTATAGTCAATTTTAGAACCATCCTTGCAAATTTCTATGTCTACTTCATCAGTTCGTAGCATGTTTTGATCTGATTGTTATTTTGTGAGGGAAAATCTGTAGAATTAGATTTTTTGTAATACGATTTGAGTCATATTCAAAAATCGTTGAATTTGTTTAAAATCTACTATACTGTCTAAATGTAATACGAATTTAATGATAGAACTGTTATGTCAAGTCCTCATGTAGGCACTTTCATGCTGATTACAGATTGATATTTTGGTGGCAAACAAATCGCAGGATTGCTCTTACTAGCTAGTTTGAATTCGTTGGATAGAGTTGCCAGCTGAAATTTCTCTTACATTTACCAACGCTTCCTCAGAATGTTATAGATTCTCGCACTGATATGTCAGCAGGGTAGTTAACTGTCAACTATCTCACCTCACGATCCTACTGTGCACAAGCCCTACGTAGGGAGGTGTCACTAGTCATGTTATATAGGCAACTTTTATTGAAGTTACCTCCCATTTATTAAATATTCTCCTTTTTCATGAATAATGTGCTATTTATTTATTTTAAATTCTAATTTCTGGGAAATTGCAAATAACTAAAAAAATCCGCAATTTTATACTATTTTATACTAAAATAAAGCATATTACGAGGATAAGTGAAAACCTTAATAATATACAGTGTATTAATCTTTTAATATTTTTTCTCCACAGCCATCCTGGATAGATGATGTACTGAATAAAAAAAAACATTTGAATGGAGCTGGGAGAGATAAGTGGATTGAAGCCAATCCCTGAAGAAGGGTGCAAATCGAAAAGAAATTTAGGACAAAAAAAGAATGTAAGCGACAACCGGTCAACGTGCAGGGTGCAGGGCATGAATTGACATGTGTATAGCGTACAAAATGTTAAATAGCAAATGGGAAACTTACCGCTTTGTGAACAAACAACATAAATAGAATACATATAAGAAGGGAAGGGCATGTGGACCCAATAGCTATACTAAACTTCTTCATTTAAAAACGACTTTCAAGCATACGAGCCCCTTCCCACTTCAGTTGGCCCAACTACTGAAATCTTAGTTTTTTTCTTGTAAAACACAAATAATAAAAATTTAGCAGGGAGTTATAGGTTTAAAATATTAAAAATGATTATTTTGATAATATATAGTAGAAAACACCAACTTTATCACTCCCTAATCAAATTTGCAGCATAAAAATAACACATGTTGCAATTACAGCATATAAGTCTATAATGCATAGCTGTCAGAATACGTTTAAAATAGTTTTGGGTAGTTAAGGTTTTCAAAATGGGTAGAGGAAAGGTTATAAGTGAGAAAATTCGGTTACTGATAATTAAATTTTTTAATTCTGGGAAATCAAACTCAGAAATTGCAACTTTGTTAGACTTATCGCGGTACAGTGTGAGAAATATTGTTAGAAGATATAACGTAACTGGTTCAGTTAATATTAAGCCACGATAAATGAAAAAAAGTAATATCACAAATGCCGACCGAAGATCATTAAGAAGAATAATCGTGAAAAACAGGCGTACCACTTATTTACAATTAAGTGCTCTGTGGAGTGACTCTGTTGGAAGGAGAATTTCGAGGTCCACAACTCATAGAGAGGCCCACAAATTGGAATTTAGCACTTGTAAGGTAAGTTGTCTTATAAAAAAAGTGAAGTAAAAACCCTAAAGTTACACAACTTGTTTATAGGCCAAAGAAAAGCCACTATTGACTCCACTGCAAAAGAAAAGTCTGCTTAGATGGGCTAAAGAACATCGACAAGGGAGTAGGAAAACTTCATTTTATTGATGGAAATGTGGATACAAACAAATATTCGGCAATTTTAGAAGAATCGCTTTTACCAGTGATGGAAGATTATTTGACATCCGGCCAAGATTTTGTGTTTCAGCAAGATGGTGCAGCGTGCCATACCTCAAAAAAGGCTATAAAATGGATGGAAGGAAATAATGTACCACTTTTGAAATGGGTTTCTAGCAGTCCAGATCTGTCACCTACTGAAACTTTATGGCACGAGATGAAAGAGGTTCTACGACAACATCCTGCTCGTACAATCACCGAACTGAGACAAAAGCTTCAAGAAATATGGGATTGTTTTACACCAAATTTTTGCCAATACTTGGTTAATACTATGCCCCAAAGAATTTCAGCCGTAATAAAAAATAAAGGTGATGTTACCCAATGGTAATCTTTCAATTGTTGCTTTGTTAACTTCGCGCATTTATTCGCACATTGTTTATTTGTTCAGATGTTCTATTAGTTATAGGTCTAAGTGATTTCAAATATGTATTTTTTACGACTAGAGTGTATCTAAAATGTTTTTGATAAAACAAATTGTTTTAGAAGTAAATAGTTTCGTCATGTTTAGTTTATAAAGGCATATGTTGATACACATCTTTAAGTGGGCCAACTGAAGCGGGAAGGGGCTCGTACTAAGATATACAAGGTATTCCATTTAAAGAATTAACATTTGTGCTACTATGTACTTATGAGTCACCCTGTAGAGGGTCTAGTCAAGAGCGTATTGTTACCTACAACGTTTGTGACTTACTTTTTGGATATCAGAATAACTGCTGCTATAGACTGATTACACACTAAAACCTCGCCCTGTGTATCGATACCTAGCCAATGCGATCTTTTTTATTTCTAAGGTATCGAGTGTACGACATTATCTAACAGAACAGGATTTTTTCGATGTTTCCTCTGGAGATTCCAATGGGTGGTCAGTTGCGAAACGTTGATTAAGACTTGTCGCTGAGATAGGAAAAATATATCAATTATGCCAGTCTACTCTTTTTAATCAGTTCTGGTACTCCTACACTTAGGCTTTGGCTTTGTGACTGACTACGCAAAAATGTAACTAGATAGCTGGCTCAGCTAGCGGTTGTCTCGCTAACGATTTGTATCAAAACAAATTGTTCCGTTCACTGCCATAACGTAGGTGTCCAAATACGAGAAGTCTGATAGAAATAACATTTATTTGCTGAATTATCAGATAATGCCCTACTCAAAATTGTAAGAACCTAGTAAAGATAAAATTTATAGCTTATATGATATTTTTAGCTCCATTTAAGCCAATAGATTAAGTCACTTCAGTTACGTGAAATCGTAAACATGCGATAAATGCATGCGTTTAACCTGCTTATTGAAACAGACAATTATTCGCACTTTGCGTGTATTTGATTAAAGGTCAGAGTAGTTGTCGTATCGGTTGATAATTTATTTATATTAATGTAAATTAGTAAATTAGCGATAAGCGTATTCCAAAAACGGCGGGTAAAAGGTATATAAGATAAGTGACAGATTGATACAGATTAGTCTTTGAGAAGCTCCATCCAAAGATAGAGGAGACCATGGCAGCAAGAGTAAGTAGTGTTTTTTGTCACCACACAAAACACATTTGTTGAAGGGAGAATAGTGCAACCAAAAATTGAAAATGGACGAAATACTCATTCAAGGGTTGATTGAAAATTTTGGATTTTCCAAAAAAAAATCTGAGGTTGTAAAACGAATTCAGAGTGGTTAAAAAACCACGGCAGTGTTTATATTGCCGAAACTAGTCCCAAAACTAACACTGAAGGTTCAAATAAGTCTTAAAATACCCCCTAACCGAGATATAGAAGTTATCATGTTAAAAACGAAAGAGAGCAATATATTCGGAATTGAATATGGTATTGAATTACATTTTTGTACATGTAAAATCAATACATGAAGAAAATGTCGTATCCGAGATTACGCCATTGTGGTACATATCGGGAAATTTCGACCACTACGTAATCGGTAATTTCACCATTCGCTCTGAGTTGTGGCTTCAAGCTTCCACAACTTTCTCTCTTGCATTCTCGTTTTCCGCAATATCTACATTCTTCCAACGTATGCTTTGCACCTTTAATTCATCTGTCACACCCACATTCATCTATTTCGGTGCTCAATCAAAATCTCTTCCATCCCTTTCTCACTAGTATCCCACCTCGTCAGTACAAAAGAGTTAAGTTCATCACAATTTAAAGCCTCTGAGAAAATAATTAGTTACTAACATGTGCAACAGAGAAATTAAACGGTACAAGTTAGAAAAACAGATCTATATAATTAGTCCATAGGCATTCTTTCCCTACCGTATTGTAAGTAACATTGAAAAACTGGGATATACCCCCACCTCTTACAACGCCTAACCTCCAATTTTTTACCCTAGCAAAATTTTTTCTGAAAATTATTATGTGTTTCTAATAGATCAAAAACGAAGTTTGAGCGATTTTCATCTTTCTCGTGTTTCTACCCTAGCTCCAACAATTTTCAAGAGCTATATAGCTCGTCCTCAGCATAGCATTGACCTTGTGTGAAAATTTCATATGAGTCCGAGCAGTACTTTTGAAGTTACAGATAGGTTAAGGATTAGCCGACAGACAGACATAACGACAGACAAACAGACAGACAGAGATACTGACGCAACATGGTTTTTTAGATGTACATGTCCTATAACAGATTTGTGATCTAGTGGGTTTTGAAATATTGAATACATTTTTTGTTAGGCTACTGTTTTCGAAAAATTCGTTCAAGTGTTTGAGGTTATTTAAACAATATTGGTGTCTTGTCCGTATTCACTCTCATAGGTAGCGCGTGACACCTTGCATCTCGGGAATGGAATATCTTACTACAGCATATATTTATAGGAACTTTTTATGTTTTTTATATGTACTTTCTGCTCTAGGAATATCGAAATTCTTTTTGAATCACCCTGCATAGGAGAGAAGTTTGGAGCTTTTTGGCTCATAATGCTGGCGCCAACATACCTACTATGATCTTACAAAATATTGTGTCCATCAGAAACTTTTGAGATGCCTAAAAAAAAAATGCAAACAAATAGACATACATTTTCGTGAACGCAAAACCTCGAAGTTATTTGGGAAGTAAAATTTGGTCCAGATTATTATTTTTACCATTATCGTCTAGAACGTCTTTACAATAAAATGCTGATGTTCTGAATGCGTAAATAATTTCGAGATTACAATAAACGGTATTTTTTTGAGAGTTAAGTTCACATGTGCAATTCAAGCGATTCAAAGCTTCTATACTTTAGACAATTATTGTTAAGTGTGCCCAAAATTTACTAACCTAACGTACAATACTTAAACTTAGTGAATAATCTCTGATATGCAGTCACAAAACACGAACACAAGCAACTGAAATACTGAGCTTGCTTCCATTTCTTGTGTATGAAAAATCAATCGTAATATGTTTTCATATTATTTTTATAACTGTACTAGCAAATATGTTTATTAAGAACGTTATTGGATTTTATATTTTATTACTTATGACATGTTTGCTATAATTAGACAAAAAACAAAACCTTGCGAAATCAATGCCGACATTACGGTAGAATTCTAATGTGATCATTTTACATGTAGTAATTGTATTAACCTTTTTTATTTAGCTTATTTATAAAGCTTTAGATGGTAATTGGTTCTATTCCAAAACAATTTCGAGTGTTACTTGTTTTTAGTTAACGAAATAATTCAAACAATGCCGCAAATCTTGAATATAAAATTAATCTTGGCTAATTTATCATGGCAGTGGCAGTTACACAGCTGCATTAGTACATTCTAAATAAAATGTCTTGGCAAATCAATTTTTCAGACTTAAAAATGACAGAACAAGTACTAAGCATGGTAGCAATAGTTATCGATGCTGTGTATTGACAAGTAACAGGAACTATTTCTAGACATCAGCTGGGCTAAAATCTCAGAAATATTTTTATATACGGAATTTTATTTCTGATGGATTTGTAAAAAAATAAAACAAAAGCAAACTGCCATACCATTATCTTACTGATACTAGCTCTATCGCTTAGCAAGTAATAAGGACAGTCTCGTGCTCGCAATAGCGCGTTCGGCAAAATAATAAATTATCGCCATACGAGTCTTTTAAGTTTTCCATATGGAAATAAAACAACACGGTAGGTTGTTTGAAATGACTTTATTGTTTTTCGAAGTATTCTCCACGAGGATTAATACACATCTGCATGCGCTCGAACCAATTTTCGAAGCACTTATTCCACTCGGTTGCTGGCAGATCCAAAATGGCATTTTTGAATGCGTCAACTGCTTCTTCTGGTGACTGGAACCTTTCACCACGCAGTCTGTTTTTAATTTTCGGGAAAGTAAAGAAATCGTTAGGACTTAGATCGAGACTACATGGAGGATGGTCCAATAATTCCCCGTTTTCTTTCGTTAAATACTGCCTTGTTTTTTGGGTTGTGTGCGACCTTGCATTGTCTTGGTGGAGGATGATACTTCTTTCGGGGAAGATTTTTCGAAGCTCGTTGATGACTTTTGGTAAACAAATGGTGGTATACCGATCCGCAGTAACAGTTCTTTGCTCATTAAGAGGAATTGTTGCAATATGACCCGCTTTTGACACAAATGTCGCGACCATCTTTTTGAAACACTACGAGATGACTTTTGTTGGTTTTTCTTCACCTTGGAACACCCAGACAGCCGACTGTCGTTTATTTTCTGGTTCATAACAGTAAATCCACGATTCGTCACCACCAGCAATGCTGTGCACATTTTTTGAGTTTCCGGAATTGAAACGGTCAAGCGATTTTGGACACCAATTAACCCTGGCTGCTTTCTGCTCTTCAGTCAACTAATTTTCTTACTCCTAATTCTTCATGTACGCTTCAATCTCGCGATATGTCACATGTCTATCTTCAATGATGAGTTTGCGCACACCATCGACGTTTTCCTGGGTGACAGCCGTTTTTGGTGCACCCACCCTGGGATCGTCGCTAAGACTCACCGGTCCACGTTTGAATTCTCCATACCAACGGGAAATTGTTGACTGATGTGTCGCTTCGTTGCCGAAAACAGACAGTAACTCAGCAAGGCACTCTTGTTGCAATAATTGTCTCTGAAAGTTGTAATACATTATGGCGCAAAAATGTTCTCGGTTGAGTTCCATTTTTCTAATGACTTGGTGATACTTAAAAATTCACTGTAGTGAGAACACTGCGCGTATTGTTGTGAAACTTTCAATTTAAGTTTACTAACGAGTGAGGTGAAGATTCAGTACTGACGTTCGATCGTCGGCCTATTATGTTTCTATATGCAAAACTTAAAAGACATCTCTCAGATAATCAATGGTTTTCAATTTTGTTATAGGAAACATTGTTCTAACAAGCCCTCGAACTAGTTCTGAACTGAACAGAGCATGCGCAGATCTCAATTACCGTTCCAATAGAAAATTAAACTACTTCTGCGACTGGCAGTTCTCTGTTTCAACAAATTTCGAGTCGGTTCTGAACTGGTTATAACCAGTAGATGCTAAGTTAATTTTACCGACCTAAGGAAGGCAGGAGTTCGTGGAAGTTCATATTTTCGTCAGATTGTGGGTTTGATAATCTCTAGCTTATTCTGATATGTGTTTCAGTTTGTAATACTAATAGCCATAGTCGGGTACGCCCACGCACATGGTCACGCCATCTCATGGGGCGTGAGCAATATTGGACACAGAGGAGGCTGGGGAGGCAGTGAAGGTGGCAATGGAGGAGGTGCTGGAGGAGGAGGAGGAGAAGGAGGTTGGGGAGGTAATGGAGGAGGTTATGGAGGCAATCAGGGAGGCGTTTGGGGTAAAGTGCATAGTGTCGGCTGGGGAGTAGGTCGTGGATATGGGTGGGGAGGCCAAGAAGGAGGATGGGGAGGCGATGAAGGGGGTGTTGGAGGAGGTAAGTTTATTTTGTGAGGTTGGCGATGTGGGGCTATTGCAAAGCGGGGCATGTCAGAGCGTTGAAAGCATTTCTCATTCAGACAGCGCATACTGCTGAGAAAATTTGTTGAGGTTCCGCGAGCTTCTGACGGCATGTGGGGCCCTTATGTTACCAGTTTACAACAGCATCCATAGTCATCGAAGTATTTTTTTCTCTTTGTTAGGATATCGATACTGTCGTAAATGACACTCAGGCTATCGCATGCTTCTCTCTGCTGTAGCCCAGGGTGCGCCAGTCTTTGAAATTATTTCCACAATTCCAAACCAGTAGTCTGCCATTTTAAGGTACTGCAAAGATTAAAACCCTTACCTAAAATTCACTTAAACATTACAAACAATTATTATTCTTAGAAATATACATTTCTGTATCTCAGAACCAAACTACATAGTTTGAGTCTATTTTTGCCAAAAACCAGTTTTATATGCTGATTAGGTTCCTCATAGTATTGTGAACTTTCATTTGCTACTTGCAGCGTCCACTTGCCTGTAATAATAAGAAAGTTACGACCGTATAGGTCCCAAACAATACAACACAAAAGAAATATTTCAAACACAATTATCCTAAAACCACTTATTTGGACTTGCAGGTAGTTAAAAGGATTCATGATTCATATTGTTAATAAACAGTTGAAATGAGTATGTAATTGTTCGGGATAAGGCATTTGGGCAGAACTATTGGCCCCCCCCCAAAAAAAAAAAAATACGTTAAATACATAAAATTACCATATTTTTTTATTAATAAATCAGATTACCGAAAATAAAGGTACACATTCACCATATTTTGAGTAAGGTTTCTTGCGTATGCTACCATTAAAATCTCCGTCAAAAATACGAACTAACGGTATAATTCATTTGATCGTATACTTTTCAGTATTCATTAGCATACACCCTTGTAGCATGGACTAAAAAAATGCATGACTGACTCGTTGTTTTTATACCTCATCTGTTAGCTACTATGTACATATCTACACCTAATAACGATCGAAACCAGCACCCATCAATTTTTTTGTCACTAAATAAATAAAAAATAACTCTGGTTTTTCATATCAATAAACATTCTGTCATAAAACCAACTTCGGCTTTAGAGATGAGAGTGAGGGACGACGGTAAGATTCGTGCACTTTTTTTCTCTTCGTAATTTATAAAGAGAACAGCTCTGGGAGCGACTTTTCAATCAATTTCATTAAAGAATAAATACAATTAATTGAAAAGTTAAGGAGCTACTGCCACTTTATACCAGTTATGCCCTTGTTTTCAAGAAATGGTATTATGGATGAATACAGTGAACCCTAACTGCATTTTGAAAATCATGAATGATATATTTTGACTTGCAAAATCAATCAACTCATTCAACTTTGCAGGACTGGGGCATGGTGTCGTCCTCGTCAACGTCGGTCATGGAGGTCTTGGAGGAGGCGTAGGTGGTGGTGCTGGCGGTGTAGGAGGAGGATATGGACACCATGAACTTGTCATCAGCCATGGAGGATCCGTTGAAGGAGGTCTTGGGGGCGGTCGTGGAGGTGGTGTTGGAGGAGGTGTTGGAGAAGGTGCTAGAGGAGGTGTTGGAGGTGGAGTTGGAGGTGGATATGGATATGGACATGGACACCAAGAAGTTGTTGTCAGCCATATAGGATCTGTTGGAGGAGGTCTTGAGGGCGGTCGTGGAGGTGGTGTCGGAGGAGGTGTTGAAGGTGGAGTTGGAGGTGGATATGGAGGTGGATATGGAGGTGGATATGGAGGTGGATATGGAGGTGGATATGGAGGTGGATATGGAGGTGGATATGGATATGGACATGGACACCATCAAGTTGTCGTTAGCCATGTTGGATCCGTTGGAGGAGGTCTTGGCGGCGGTCTTGGAGGCGGTGTTGGAGGTGGAGTTGGAGGTGGATATGGACATGGACATGGAGTTTCGGTTGTACACGAAGCATCTACACCTGTTGATGTTCATCACGAGGCCCCTGTTGTTATTGGACATGGAGAAGGAGGACATGGTCACGGTCATGTTGTTGATCATTATGTAAGTGTACATCATATGATGATTAGATATCATCCAGAAAACTATGATTAATAGCATCGCAGCTAATGCTACCTCTGGAAAGGCTATACTTTATTCCTCGTATTTTTGCAGCAGTTTGGCACTAAAAATCTTTTACATAATCAAGAGTGGATCCTACAAATTTGCGTGACCAATCTTTAGCTATCATCATAAGACTGGATGTCAATTAAAGCCTTATACCCACAGACAGTTAAGTAGAAGGCATTCATGAGGATTTTGACAGCCATCTCCTTATGTAAAAATATTTGAATACAACAAGCTGTTAGCCACAGCAGATCATTGAATAATGGGTTTGGATGATTTTCTTAACAAAAAAAAATACCTCCATCATTCTTTAAATAATGAGAATCTTATGGATCAGGGAGAACAACTTAACGTTAACGCTACAGTCACTACATGTTATACTTGTAACGCGTTGTTTATGCCATATTTTTAGATTGTGACCCTACTTTTATCAGACTCGGCTTCCGTCAGATACAAGGGAAATATCTTTGAATCTCTGGTGTTGATAGTTAGACGTGAAAATAGGGTCACGTTCTATCAGAATCAAAAATAAAACTAAATCCGAGTAGCTAATTCAGGCCAGAAATACAAAGAACTTCAATCAGTTATAGCTATACCATCATATGGAGTTCAAGAAATTTTTTTCAAATCTCAAGCTGAATTCGAAGACGAATAGCAACATTCTTGGAAAATGGATGTAAGTAAGCCATTACAGGTATTGAAAGTGTCATCAAGTAGGTTAACCCTGATTGTGTCGTTCTTAATACTCTGTACAGAAATTTGAACAAAAATGTTCGACAAAAGTGTAGCTAAGATAGGTTGAATTTAAGGGCTATTGGACTGTTTGACGCTACATTGAGGGCACTATACAGGGTGTCCAATAAGTACCACGACAAACTTAAGGAGAAGGTAATAACAAAAACTTACCTATATAAAAGTGTCACCGTTTTTGAGATAATGAATTTTTTCTTAAATTTTAAAAAAACGAACCTAATTATCTGTGGTCTTTAGCTGCATGTACAAATAAGGTTACACTTTGTTTATTTTTTCGATAAAATACTTCTAGATAGTCGCTTTATCATATACAAATGCAATGTAGTTAAAAGATATTAAGGAACCATGATAAAATTACTGTTTTGGAATTTATAACCTTCTGGTATTGTTTCCTCAACTTTGACCATCTGTGGTGAAACCAAAATCTACTGGGCTATAACTGCATTTATTGAATAAAAGATTGCTCATTGAATACAGATTTCAGAACGGCGCCTCACGTACTATTTGGAATAGAAAAAAAGTGCTATTTGTAAGTGTCTGACACACACTACAATGCAATTATTGGATTTAAATTTAAGTAACCGACCAATGACATGGTAAATACTACAACGATATTATTAAGTGCTGCTGATAGTATTTTATGATACTTACTGGAATTCGGACTGTAGTCAACAACAATAAAAAAATATATCAAAAGGTTACAAATCCCAAAATAGTCCTTATTTGATCATGGTTCCTTAATATCTTTTAACTGCATTGCATTTGTATATGATAAAGCAACTATTTAGAAATATTTTATAGAAAAAATGAACACAGTATAACCTTATTTGTACATGCAGCTAAAGACCACAGATGAAAAAGTTAGTTTTTTTAAAATTTGGGAAAAATTCAATATCTCAAAAACGGTGACCTTTTATATAGGTAAGTTTTTGTTATTTTGGAAATCAGTCCAAAGCATACCTTCTCTTTAAGTTTGTCGTGGTACTTATTGGACACCCTGTTTATTCAAGTTGCAGGAGAACGAGTTGTCAACAACAAAGTTGAGCGATGTATAATGTAAAGTTTATGAGTAGTTAAATAGAAATAACGCACAAGTTTCGGAATTTTTCGCGATTACATTACTTCCTCGCCAGTAAAGTAGGAAATAAAAATGGGATTTTGTCTAGATGAAAAATGATAATGATTTTAATAATAATAATTATAATAATAATAATCTTCTTTATTAAAACCTTAGAATTCCATACAGGGAAAAAGAGTTGCAAATGGTAGCGAAGTTTAGCGACAACAGAAATTGTTAGGTAGCAGACATCACAAACAATATATATATAAAAGTGTACTATATGAATAAAGCAAGAACAGGATTTAACAACAAAGCAAAGAGTAACATATTTAAACTATGGATCCAAGCAGATTTGAGATTTAACAGATTTCTTCAAGCAATTTAAGGACATATTTGTAAATTCAGAACTCACAGCATTGTGTAAAACTACAGCACTGTACGAAAAACGACGCTAAAATAAAGCTGTAGACTGAATATGTGTAGTTATCATATTCGAATCTCTATACCTAAAGATCAGCTTTTCTCTTACGTATATAAGCTTGGACATAAGCATTAGTTTATGAATGGATACAAGCTAATGATATTTGACAATATTTTTTGTTTTCATCCAGTTTAATTCGATAAGACTACCAGAAACATGGTCAATATGTCTTAATCAGCAGACGAACCTAGCACAATTGTGTTGTACAATTTGAGTCCGATTTCTAGCAAAAACATTAAGACGCGGATTATAGGTATAACATATCACAGTAGTTGAAAATGAGTATTACCAAAGATAGGCACACTTTTTTTTCCTTAGTTTAAAATTAAACAAATTTTTATTAGCATATAGTTATCACAGTCTCAAATAGGTTTTCTTTAAAAGGTTTTTGATATCACTGTTGAATATAAGTTTAAAATCGATTATTACGCTTAAATATGCTGCACTTATATCAAGTCAATTTAGCATTCCTATTCTACAAATATTAACATTCACAAATAATAACAGTCAAACTATTACATTTTCAGGCTCCCCCTCACTACGAGTACAAATATGGTGTAGCCGACCACCACACTGGCGATCACCATCAGCAATCTGAGTCCCGTGTTAAGGACCACGTCAAAGGGGAGTACTCCCTCCATGAACCAGATGGTACCATCAGGGTGGTCAAATACGAGGCTGATGGTCACAACGGATTCAATGCGGTGGTGCATCGAGTAGGCCATGCTCATCATCCTACTGTTGTTAGCCATCATGGACATGGTCATGGTGGAGAATGGTAGATGGGACATTTGTGACATCATCAGATGGAGTGTTGCCATATACGCTGATATAGTATTATTATAATGATTTTGTATGATGTATAAATATGCATGTATTTGTTATGTTTGTGTGAAGAAACATTAAATGTTTAAACTGACATCTTTTTAGTTATTTCTCTTTGCGTGTGTTATTGGGTAGAAAAGTAGCCCTCAGAAGGACAATTTATAGGAGGAATTCGACATACCATACTAAATTTTGTCAATAAGTTCACTTTCTTGTATCGTATAGAAGGACAAAATTTTCAAAAGCAACTCCAATGGGGCAGCCTAAAACTACACTAAATGGAGTCAAATACGTTTCCTTAATACTTCACAGGATTTCAATAGAGCTTGTTCTTCACGGTAGTCATTTAATTTAGATAAACTAATATTACACGCATGGGTGAAAATATAAAAAGTATAAATACAAATATATAATTAAACCCGTAGGAAAAATACAATTGACTTGTTCTACTTGTTTTTACCGTGCTTATAATAAAACTAATAATCCCTGTTGGGTAAGGATTCATGATTTTCGGTCAAATTCTATAAAATTTTGGTTTGTTCCAATACCTGAAACAAAAAATGCCGGCAATAAAGGTCTTACATGGGTAGTTTATGAGATACTTGGGGTTTTAAATATTCTGCACGGAAATTTGAACAGGAATGCTTAACAAATAGTGAAGTGAATTATAAAAAATTGAAAATGTCTAAGTGCAATAACAATAATTTTTAATACTGCTATCGAGGCGAACCTAAGGACAAATGTCAAATGTCAAAATCCATCGAGCCGTTTGAACTGTATCGCGTGAAAAAGAAATTCCAAAATTGAAGTTTAAAACCCGAATCCGTCATTTTGTTTTATTGACACTGTGTCACCTGCACTGTCAAGGCAGATTTAGAGATTCCTAGTTTGACAAAAACCATCAACTTCTGGAATGAAGTTGCCCAAGAAATAGAAATTTTAAAATTCTTGACTAAAATCTGCCATTTTGATAAAATAAAAGTTCCGTATATCCGGTGACACTCCAACTGATAAGAAAATTCTTGATTAAAATCCACCATTTTCATTGAATAAAGATTCAGTATATCTAGTGTCAAGACAAATCTAGGGATACATCATATGTCAAAATTCATCAAGCCATTCAAGCTGTAGCCCGTAAAATAGAAATGTTAAAGTTGAAGTTTGTGAATGCAATCTGTTATTTTGATCTTAAAATTTAATATACTCAGTGTCACTCGCCTTGATAAGATGAATCCAACAACACCTCATATACCAAAATCTATCAAGCCGTTATGACAGTAGCCCGTAAAATTATTTGCCCGAAAAACATAACCCTCCTTCTGAGGCAGGTAATAAACTAAGTTAAATTAAAGAGCTTTGACGCTCAATTGAGGGCTCTTGTATATTCAAGTTACAGAAGAGGAAGTTGTCAACAGCCACAACAAGGTATAGTGTTAGCTGTGAGAGTTAATATTGAAAATTCCACTAGCCTGCGTTTAGTATATATGGTCGTGATCTGTTCACAAATAACGTCCAAGTTCTTTAACCAACTTCATAATTTATTTTTTTTGCATTCTTTTCGAGTGTAAATCCAGTCGCGTAAGAAAATTGTTCAGATACCGCTTAAAATATTCAAGTCCCTAGAGATTTTCTTTGAATGCATACAAATATAATCAGCATAAATTTACGGAACGAAGCTAAGCATTAAAAAAATTAATCATGGAATAATTGATATTGGTAACGCTTAGCCTGGACTAATCACCAGAACATAACTAAAAACAGTATAAATATCAAATAGCATTTGGAATCACTCCAATTATACAGTGCCAAATATGGGGTAGTTATCCAGACATGTATATTTCGATAAATACGAAATGTCAATTTTAGGCGATGCAAACCAAAACAAAATTGATTGACTCCTGTTACATTACATTAATATATATGCACTGGCACCAAGCTAGCAGATTTTTTCAGCATGTATTATCAACCTCTTACACATGATATATGTATTTAGTTCAATACGAGGGTCGCGAAGTCCTTAGCTTTAGAGAAGGTTAGGTTACAAGTGTAAACGACAGTAATGCATAACAATACTATCTTACTGCTGTTAGTTTCGCCCGTTGAAAGCTGATGAGTGGCATCAATAAACCTCTTATACGCATGACTTGCTATCGTATCCTCTAGGTTAAAGAATACTAGGATTGAGCATTTTTTAATTTCTTATTCTCTAATTCTCTCCTTTCTTTTTTCTGTCTCTTCACCTATGAACATGATTAAAAAACGTTCCAATGAAACATTACTATTTCATAGAGTATTTTTTTCTACCACCAAGTATTGTGATAAAAACCCCAGTTTTACTGTTCAAAGTAAAATATTACTTTGGCACTAGTTTATAATACTTGTAACTAATTTATGAGGTATTTATCACTATGTCGATTGGACTATCGCGTTGACTCATTCATCGTTGTCCTCAGACCTAGCTGTCTCATTCCACTGTTATGGCGCCCATATATTTTGAAATCAACCAATCCAGAAGCTCTCCAGAACACTGGCGCGATATGTTTTGAATGACAACCGACAACCGAAGTCGCACGATCGCTCACGCACGTGAATGCGATCACCCTCCACGCTATAAGCTGCGATACATGTTGGTCTAAATCTGGTTGTATAACTTTAATAATATCAAAAATCACATAGTGTGATTCAGTATAGTATCTATTTCTAGATTCAGTTTCAGCTAAATGTCTAAAAAAAAATTCAAAATTCATATTATAAATAGATTGATTTTCACCTTAAGAAAATATGATCATATTAGTTCATGTCTCGAACAGCTGAACTGGTTGAAAGTTGCAAAATTTATTATGCTATCTTCACAAACTCCTACGTACTTCGATACCTTCATTTTTGAAAAATAAGTTGATCTCGCGAAGATATCTATTCAAGAAGCATTCGGTTCACTGACACTTTAACAAGGCCTCTTCACAAAATTCCTCTATTTCATAAATGCTTTACCTATAATGCCACTAATCTATATAATGCATTAATTACATCACCATCGACTGCTAAACATCTTGATTTCAATAATTTCGAAAAAGAAATTAATCAAATTATCTTTGAAGCTCGATCTTAAACCCCCAGTATACATTGTACACATATGTGTACGTTATTTTCAATAAATAATTTTTGTTTAAATTTTAGAAGAATATTTTGTTAAATTGTTTTCAGTATTCTAGTGCTAGTTATTTTCAAGGGTTAAGTGGTAGAATAGCTTGTAGCTAAACTTTGCCCGAAATGAAAGTCGTGTATTATTACTATTATTATTATTCTTATTACTATTAACTTTGCAAGGAGATATTTTAGCTAATCAAGGTCTCAGTTGAAGTATAATAAAGTGTAAGCGATATACTCTTGAGACTCTTAGATACTGAGGTTTCTCCTTCACTTCCTTTCCAACTGGAAGGACATTTAGATTGTTTTGAACTTTCGGTGGAAACCAACATTTTTTAACAATTGTAAAATCTTCAGTATAAACCTCGTATTCTGCCTCGCTTTAACGCAAGCACAATTTTTTGGCATATTCTCAAACATGTCTTACGCCTTTCACCAGATAGCATATCTGCAAACAACAAAAATCTTGGTGTTCTATTATCATCTAATAAATGACAGCGGATATATCACGTCCAAATAACGAACGGGCTTTTCTGGAAAAATTGACAATCTGATTTCGCACCTGACGAGTGCGTGTGTCGTTTAGATTTATTACTAATTGCTCATTATTCATTATTTCTTGACATCTTTGCATATCCAGGGGTTGCAGACAGACAAATATATAAGGCTTAGTGCAGTCGAATGCTTCAGTTCAGTGCATTGCAGCTACACATCAAGATGATGCTTCAGGTAAGGATCAGACCGTTCAAAAGTTGATGATAATTAACTATAATGTTACCAACTTAATATTTATTCAACATTCTGTTTTGGATGGAGCCAAGAGCTTTAAAGTTTCATGAAATCCGCAAATAATTGTACACTGAGAAAACGTGTTCAATTAAACAGTTGTTCTGGAAAATTTTCAATACCCGTACTGATTTTTTTTATTACTTTGACTAACTAAATGATTCGGCTTAATTAAGCTGACTTTTCTGAAACCAGTTTAATTGAAAGTGATATACTATTAAACTAATTCGCTTGAAAATAGCAAACCACGTGCTTATTTTATTAAATAGTTGAATTAGTTTAAACTGTTTATTTGAAATCGAGGATTCGGAAGGACTCGGTTCTTCATTCGTGGATCGGGGCTGTGCGACAGGCGCAGTAACGGAGAGGCGCTTCGAACTCCTCAGTACCATTTGTGAGTTGTTGGGTTAGTAGCTGTGACAATAATCAACTATGGTGATCCAGTGAAATACTCGAGCGTAAGGCCCTTAGTGACCCATAACCATGACTAGAATATTTCTGTATAGGGGAGTCACTACTGACATGTCGGAATGAGAAAATCCATAGGTTAACGAAGGGCACTTATACCAATCATGTGTTTAATATAGGCTTGATGTTCTTTTCTTCTATTATGGTTCAATCTATATATAGGTAGGTAGTAAAGCCTCCTGTTGGTGTAGACTTTGTAGTATTTTAAAATATGCTAGTTTGTTTACAGTGATGTGGAATTTGTTTATATGTATATGAAAATGCCTTGAATGCCGAGTGGCGATATAACCTGTTCCTAGAAAATCGGAGAAATAATTGGCAAAACTTGATCCCAAATATGATAAATCCACAATTAATGTAAATAAAAAAATATGGAATCTTGCAAGACTAAAGTTTTTAAAATTTTTTAATATCTTAGATTTGTTAGAGCAGAGTTATAGTATACATCGTTCAGAAAAGTGCAATTTGTTCTTTTAAATTCCAAATATTATCCAAACCTACCTTTAAATCCAAATAAAATAGTTCATTAAAACTAAAACGAATAATTTTACCTGAACTGATTAATCAAATTTTGAATAATATAATTAAATTGTCTTACTTGGAGGTAACCTCTCATTTCAATAGTGCCTTAATTTTCTTAATTTTAAATAAATTGGTGTACTCAATCTAAGTAAGCGGTTTAAAAAATTGTATTAAATGATTGCGTTTAGGTTTAATAAACCTAGTTTCATAGATTCAAGTAAATTTTATAAATCGAAGTTTCTAATTAATTCAGTTAAACTTATTAGCTGTCACATAGCTAATTAAATCTTAACTGGTTCAATTAAATATTTTTCTCAGTGTATAATAATAGGTATCAATTTTCTACAAATTCCTGATGAAACATTTTAATATTTTAGGTCGCTACGTCTTTTGCTTTATTGGTAGCCACACAAGCAATTGGAGTACCACTTGCTGGCCATGGTTTGGCTGTTGGTGGTATAGGACATGCAGTTGCTGTGGACCAATATGTAAGTCCGTGTTGGTATTAGCGCGATAGTCGGAGGTAAAATATCTCTGACATCGCCACCCGCACAAGCACATACAGTGCTTTTCAAAAAGATTCCGTTGTTCTCTAATTATTTTCTGAACGGTTCGAGTTAGACAACTGAAAATGGAAGTGATGATATCTTTGAACATTCTTTAAAAGAATATGAGTATGAGTAAATACCACTGGAAAATGTTTTAGTAGGACTCCTTTTGATAGAATACATCCGAATATGTAACAAAGTATGCAACATTCCATTGCTATAAAGCCTAACACCTTTTTTTGAATGGAATGTCTCATATTTCATTACACATTCACAAATACTTTTCCAAAAGAAGAATATAACATAACATTCTACGGCATTTTGAAGATTAGGTATCGATTTCTAAGCGATTCAATACACAAAGAGGCTTAGCTTTGGCACCTCACCAGTTCGTTATTATGGATGAAGCACTGATCAGGAGTTTTCGAACGAGATATCAGCTGATTCTTCATTCCATTTAAAAACTTTTTCAAAATGGCCCTTAGACGTCACCTTGTAATTTTTAACTGTCTCTTCAACGTTAAATTATAGTTGCATCAGTTTTATGACCACAAATTTTAGCTTAGTAAATATGTGGGAGAGACCTTTTAGAAAAGGACTGTTTAGTCTCGGATTTGACAGAATCTGTGGATTTCAGATTTTTTGGTGAATATTTCAAAAACTAATTAGATGATTTTCAATTCTGCAGTAAAGTTTTTCTCCCTTATAAATGAAATATCCGGTAACTTCTATACAATGGTAACCACGATTTTGAGGTTACGTTTTGATGCCCTTGATGTTTAAGCGTTAAGTTTTTAACCATTTCTGTGGATTTGTTTCTGGTGAAAAATGAAATTATCATAAATTTTCTCATAAGAGCCCATGTTAATTTGGGAATAGCTCAAAAACAGAACTGTCGCTTTTAATCAAACTTCACAAAAATATTTCAAGCATTTCTATAAATTTTTACCAAACGCAAGCAACTACCTTAACGAAAAAACAATAATATGAAACAATTTCAAAACATATAGTCAACTAGCTCAACGTTGTAGTGTCGGGAAGTTATTAATTTTTTGCTTTTTGCTTAACGTTTTTCATCGTCAGTTCGACCAGCAGAGGGCTATTTCATGCTCATTGGCAATCGACAGCATATGCTAGGTTTCTAGTTGGGGGTATAGAGTCTATACAAATGAGATAAATCAAGTGTCGTCTGGTTTTTAAGATGACCGGCTACTTTTCGGTATGTTGTACAACGCGTAGGGTATTCATTAAAGTAGACCCTGCAGACTAGTGCGTAGTTCGGTGCTGTTTCTAATTGAAGACTTAAATATTGTAGACAGTACCGCACTACCAGTACGACTACGGTGTAGCAGATCCACATACAGGTGACCACAAACAGCAATCTGAAGTTCGTGTGGGAGACGTGGTGCACGGAGAGTACTCTCTAGCCGAACCTGACGGTACCTTGAGGGTGGTCAAGTACACGTCTGACCCTCACAATGGATTCAACGCTGTGGTAAAGAGGGTCGGACATGCTTACCATCCTACTGTGGTTCGTCATGCAGCAGTGCCTGTTGCAATTGGTCGACTGGGGCTGGGATTAGGCGGACTGGGACATCTGTAGATGAATTGAGGTGAATTTTCGTTTATTTTTTCTGTTAATTAACTAAACTCTCTTGATGCATTTCAATCTGTTTCCTATATACAAAAAATATACCAATAGTTCCTCCATGAGGGTTTTATATTTTGAAATAAGGACTAGTGAGAGCACATGAAAGTAAAGGGTTTATTGGAGAAAATTTTTAAAATTCTGCGTTCAACTATATGTAAATCAACTACTGTATAAAAAAAGTGAAGAAACTGTATGTGGTATTAGAGAGCATTCATTAGCATCGAATTTGTTCTTCATTCCATAACTGTAGCTCCAAAGACGCTAAAATGGAAATAGCCAAAGCCCTGGGGTCTTCTTTTTTTTGACTGGGAAAAGCTATTATAGCCAGTCTCAGACAGAAAAACTTGAGAGTAGTGCCCTGCCAGTCCTTCCTGCTCGAAGTGTGAGATTCTCCTGAAATGGCATATCAAAACCCCTAAGTCGTTTGCTACACATCCCTCCACGATAATGCTTGCAGCATTACTCCATAGTGGCAAGCATTGCGCGTTACCATTTGTATACGTACATATAGTCTAATCATTTTAGCAAATTTCCCCGAAATAATTGTAGACTGGTTTTATTGGTGCAAGTTGTTCAATGAGGCATAAAATGGGTATACCAATTTTTGTTGGAAAACGTTTTATTTGACAACAAAGAATGAGAAAACGTGTTCTTTTTTTGGAATTCAATCGTAAGTTGTGACAGGAACGAAAAAATGTTCATATAAGATTTTTAGTTAGTTATGAGACCTACAGAATGAGACTACACCTAAAAAGACTAATAGCAAAAGTGTTATGGCCGAAAAACCAGGCAAAATCCAGGCTTTGGAACTTCTTGCTAATGCAACGACAATTTCACGCAACTACTTGAAATTCTCCAAATCCGATTCATACTTCTGAATAACAACAACAAAATTGGATATATTGGTCAAGTCGTTTTTTGAGAATTTCTAATTGTTTATCTCAAAACACCTGCTTTCCGGCCATCACTACTAGTTTATTGAGCAATATACAGGGTTCGTTTAAAGAAAATGTAATAGCAAAATACACATGTTTACCTTGTCGATATGAATCACAAACCATTCCGAAAGATAAATTAATATTATTTTTATGCGACAAACGAATGTTAGGTATCTTTCTTCTAAACAAATTCAAACAAATTGGTTAAGGCTTTCGCGGCCAGTTGATAAACTGCTGTCTTGATTCGGGTCTAAAGGCGGTTGGAATTTCTTCCTAACGTTTCGCTAGCACGAGTGGCAAGCTTCTTCAGAGTCTACATCCAGCATCGGAAATGGAAGGACCTCCGAAGAAGCTTGCCACTCGTGCTAACGAAACGTTAGGCAGAGATTCCTACCGACGAAGGCCTTTAGACCAAAATCAAGACAGCAGTTTAAATTCAAACATTTCGTATTTGTGAGTAATTGAACAAATGCGCAACGATGTTCGTAACACATACGTTACTATACACATTTTAAAACAAAGCGTATGTGTCTATCATCTTCTGTTGCGAATAACTCACAATTACGAAATGTTTGAATTTGTTTAGAAGAAAAAACGTAACCCAACCTTTTTTGCATAAAAATAACTTTTATCTTCGGAATGATTTGCGATTGATGTCGGCAAGGTAAACAAGTGTATTTTGCTATAAAATGCGTTTTGAACTAACCCTGTATATTGCTAAACTAGTAGATATGGCCCGAAAACAGGTGTTTTGGGATATACAATCAGAAATTCTCAAAAACTGCTTGACCAATCTATTCAAATTTTGTTGTGGTTATTGAGAAGTACGAATCCTACGAATTAGCAGAATTTTAAATATCTGCGAGAAGCCAACAAGTGCCAAAACCTGCAGCTCGCCTCGGTTTTCGGCCATAACTTTTTTGCTATTAGTCGGATCTTTTTACGTGTAGTCTCATATTGTAGGTCTCATAAATACCTGAAAATCTTATATGACGAGTTTTTTTCGTTCCTGCTAACACTGTCGATTGAATCCAAAAAAACGCGTTTTCTCATTCTTTGTTGTCGAATAAAAGGTTTTCCCACAAATTTGGTGTTCCCATTTTATGCGTCCATGTTTTGGATCCCTGCTTGAACCACTTGCAGCAATAAAACTAGACTTTACAATTATTTTGCAAACCATGTGTATTTTTGTCTAATATGCTTATACTTTTATACCTATGTACATGTACAACCGAGCACTAGAAACGTGCTATTGGTTCCTTTTTGTTCTCCCGTACTTTTCTCAGCATCATTCGCCGCAAAATTGTCAGCAGTGAGCCTCACCTACCATATTGGAGTAGGTGATTAGGAATATCCTCTTCATTGCAATATACGCAATTCGCGTACTCCCTCTTTCCTACCTGTTTCAGGTAGTTGTCAAAACAACCATGTCTTGTGAGGAACAGTGCAGTATAGTAATCAGTAATCTATCCGCACCGCTCCCTTGACAATCCAAGTTTTAATATCTGGTATCAGTTTACTGGTATATACACCATGGCTAGTTGCATTCCATCTCTCCCATCATCTGACAAAAAGCGCCACTCTTTCGTCGATTACAGCTTCGACGCCTTTTTTATAGAGTGCACATCACTCCGCAGCCAGCAAATCAGTTGACGGGATACTAGTTACCACCGGCAGCGAATCGGTCGACACCGCACAACACTACTTTTTGCTGGCTACTCAATATTGGCTATCTTTATTTCTTTTTCCTCAAGGCCTTATTATATACAGCATAATCGAGATTGCCGCCCCTGCCAAAATCTTACGCCCCTCACTTGGGGCCTCCGTCAGATGGCATTAGCCATATCAGAGATGTAACGACCTTATTTACCTTGTCAGTAGTGCGTCTTATAATATGTTCAATCATTTTCAGATCTTTGTCAAGCCACACACCCAGATACTTAATTGCATTTTAGCTCCGAATTTTGGAACTATCAACCTTAATAGCAATGAGTCTGCCAGAAAGTATAACTCTGTCTTCTCAGGAACCAATTTCAAGACATTTTCTTCCTTCCATATGGTAAAGCTCTGTGGTTTGCATTGACAGCTGCAGGCAGCCAATTGAAATGAAATCGTTGTTGCTATTGCTGTGCATATTCATCGAAAACCCAGAAACAGACCGATATCTGTTTCAAAAATATCTTGTTCGTAAAATGTCATCCTCTAGTTCAACACAACCCTAGTCAGGGTAACAACCACTGTATTATTGAATACGAATGCGATACATTATTTGAAGTATTTTTATAGACGATTTAACAATACTACTATTTTTAGTTATAATGCATTTGGAAAAATAATGAGTGGCGAACATAAAACAGGCCAATTTTGTATTTAAAGGTTACATCGTGTTGCGTAGCAAAGTTATTCCTGAATTCAACACCCAGGGGGAGGGTAGCAATCCAGTAATTGAAAAAATACACTTCAAGGACTAAAAATATGCTTGATGAAATTTCAAATGCGATATAGAAAATCTAATTGATATAATTCTTCCAAATGACTTCTACTTCTTGTTAAAAAAATCAGAAGTAGGGGATTGGACTTAGACATTAAACCTTTAGGCACTGAAATGTTATTGTTGAATCCGCAATAATTTTTGATAGATATTCGCAGTAATCCAGAAAATAAATTGACTTAAGTATCTATAGTTCAGTAAGTAGTAATCAAAACTTATCTATTAAGAACTTGTTAGTAATTGGATTACACTTTACAAACCTTTTCTCACATGCATCGGGGCCACTGTAGTCCCGAGGGACCCGTCTCATTGATGCGGATTGGACCATCAAACTTCTCCTTATTTGTAGGGAGGTAGATATTATGTGACCTGTCATTATCAAGTGAATCATAATTTTTTGTTTTCAGATACCTGTAACTAAAGGATTGGATATGTGGACCTGCAAGTAACTCAGAGATATCTTTTTTAGTCATACATAATTGTTGCTCATCTTGTATTTATTTTTAGTTTTATAATTATTTATGTGTATATACGATGTTGAATAAATGTATGTTCATAATACTTGCGTCTTTTACATATGCTCCAATTAAAAAAAACCTTCAAAATTTACATTCCGTACACTACAAAACCATCACTACAGCCCAATAAGACCATCAGCTAGAAAATATTTATAGGAATCGCGAAACTCGAAACATTACAGTTGGAACAAGCTCAGAATTTGTGACAGAGAGTGTGAAACAACGAATAAATATTAGGTCGTTAAACCTAAGGTTGTCAATAACATTTTTAATAGATCTCTTATGTATGAATGTGTTAATAGAGTATGCAAACTGCCCGCAGTTAGCTCAAATCTTGAAGGAATGTTGGTAATTTGTTAACAGCATTTTAGTTGAATTGCAATTTAATGTCTTACACCACTTAGTTAAATATCTCGTTTTCAATTGCATGCTATTCAAAAAATACGATATATGATGAATATTATAAAAATTTCAATATTGATTGAACTCAATCTCCCTAGTTAATTACAGAGTAATTAATAAACTATATATAGGTTAACATTTTATCTTAGTTACCATAAGTCTATTATTCTACTTTTAATTGTATACTGGTAAAAAAAATTAATAATTATCACTACGAAAATTTCGAGGGTGGTTTTACTCAAAATTCCTTGTCAATTACTGTAGCTTTCAGGAGTACCGTTAAATGTCTAAAGGTTAAAATTTTATCTATAAATTCGTTCATTTATGATTTCAGTTGATTACATGATACGTCTTGGTCATGTTGTGCAGACCTTAAGATTACATTACTGGAATAATACCTGTAAGTCAGAATTACTGGAACAGAAAACCATGAGCTTTGAAAGCAACTCACATATTTGAAAATATCTTGGTTATGCTAATTTTGAATTTGGCAGGGCTGGTAGAAGAGGAAAGCTGCTCTAAGCAGATTGTTTCACATTCTTGATTTTCGAGAAACAAAGACGCGTCACTTTCGGCTAGCTCTCGGTGTAAATAGCGAGACTGATATAGAGTAGATAAGACAAAAACAGCTTCTTTTTTGGTCAGCAATCAAGTGCAAAGGCACATATCCACGCCATTTTTTTTGTACCGAAGCAGCCAGATCATGTCCTCGCTGATCTGGACTGCGATCAGCCGAAATGAAGGGTTCTTTCGTAGAAATCGGCCATTCAACGACACCGGATGAGCTCTAGGTCGTATTTTGTTAGTTAAGCCACAGTCCAGTGTTTTGGAAGCATTAGGCTCTACCAGGCTGTTACGCCCCTAAGCAGGCGCCTTGCCAGAGAGGAAGTCACTGCTAGTCTTCCTTTGTCCAGTTCACTGGCAGATATTGGCTTGTCACCCTAAATTCCTGAATATAGGGTGCTGTCATCAGCAAAGCTGGGGATCGGCTTGATTGTACAGGAAAGGAGGTCGTTGATATGTAAGAGGAAGGATGTCGGAACCAAGACCAATCCCGCGTTGATATTGTGGAATGAAGAGGAGAACCCGTAGATTACGATGAAGATCTTGCGATCAGAGAGAAAGTCAGCCAACTGCAAAGTTTCTCTGACAGGCCTTAGGGTGGGAGTTTGCATAAGGCTTGATACAGCTGAACTAACGATTCACTTATTAAGGTAAGAATTGTATGGATGCTGCTGTTGATACAGCATCTCGTCAGACATGTGAGCAGTATTCCAAATCGGACTTTATCATGCAGAGACTGAGAATGTTAGATGGTGTAGTATACTCAGAAGTGATTTCATTTACGAAATTAAACATCGAATATCAAAGATAAAATATATGTCTAAGCAACTTAGATTAATGAAAATATAATATATGGCAACCGTTTTGCTATGCATAATGAAATCGGAAATAATCTGTCAATACCAAAATAATAATTAATTCTGCATACTAATCGCTCAGCAGTTATTGCACAATTTCAACGCACACGCTTTTGACCACTAAATCGTTGACAAAATAGGCCGAAAAACTAAAATCGAGAATGTGAACATTATCAGCCCATACTTGTATTCCGGTTTTTTGGAAATTCGAGTCAAGTACGTTATCAATTAGTGAATGTACGGATAGTGTTAGTATATAAGTGGCACCGGCAAAATGGCAAATCAGTATTCTCCAATCTTCAGTTCCACATTCAAGTACCTGAGTAGAATTAGCCAGAATGATTGCTCAAGTAAGTATTGTTCCCAAAATTATTTGGTTCTGCTCACCTTCTATAATATCTGATCTTTCATTGTACTTTAAAAGCAAAATAAGCGATATTGTGTAAGCTGCAAGGAGGTTGGAGTTCCATTCACTGTATTCGAAAATTAGGTATCTATTCTCTACTTGCAATTATTAGTGCATCTGTTGTGTTGGGGCCTCCAGCATTCTCCTGGTTTGAGCGTTTTTCACCGTGTCTCACCAATTGACACTCAGAAGACTGTTGACTCTAGCAATACTGTATGCCTTTTTGGTTTCTACTCTTAGCCTCAGTAGCAGATTGATTGAACCTAAACAAACAGAGAGGACCTTATTAGGCAAAAAATTCCGAACCTTCATGAACCTTGCATTTCCACAACTTTTAGTTGTTTACTATAGTTGCTGTATTTCCTCATAGGCCCTACTTATGCCCTACCACTTACCCTTCTCATAACATATACTTGGATTTTTTTGACTCATATATACAAGTCTGACAAAAGTTTCGATGGTATGCCCACATTCATGACTTCGGGTATCAAATGAAATACTTAGAAGCTGGAGTTATAACAAATGCATCCTTCCAGGTGGTCTTTATTGGTAGCCTGATGGCTGTGGCGAACGCAGGACTTCTCCACCACGGTATTGGAGGAGGCGTTGGAGGTGGTCTTGGAGGCGGTGTGGGTGGTGGAGTAGGAGGTGGATATGGACATGGCCATGTTGTTGACCTATACGTAAGCATTCTGTTATATTTCTCTCAATGCTCTTATATCAATTGGACAAAGAAAAGTCTCTATGTAGCGCTGCGGTCATCGTCATGCAGGTATCAGAAGTGCTTGCGACTTGGTTTATTCCTGTGAGATCAAATGTGGCGAGATGGTCATAGGTCGAATATATCTTATATATAGAGTGCCTCAGATTAAGATGACAACTTATAGGATGTCGTATGAGCGAAACAGTATAACGAATTCTCGACAGCGTGATAACCAGTTAGGGCTTCACATTGACGTCCATAGAGAACAGTTAACTAAATACACAGTTATGGACTAACACAATTTTGCTCTCATTCTTAAAATCTCGTTCAACATACTGGATAATGATGGCTCAAAAATGATTTTTGGAAAGCCTGATCATTTAGATGAATGAATAAATACACTGTTTGCCGTCGATCAAGTAAGTCATTTTAGAGGAAATAAAATACAGTACCGTTCTATGAATTTTGATACTGAATCCAGTATACCGGTTCCATTAATGCGGAAACTTTAGTAATTCTGAAAAAAGAATATACAGTTTCAGACAACTTCGTCAAGTTTTTATGTTTTTTCTTCGAAAATATTGAGGATCATCCTGCCTTTCTTCGAAGTAGCTCATTTTATTAGAGTTAACCAGGAATATGCTTTTATTCTGCTAAACATTATTTTAGAGCCAATATTATACCTGGGGTTAAAAATATATATTATATTGGGTTGTCAGCCTGAAATTGGATATTAAACAGCAAAAATATCGTTGAATTTTACAGTATTTTACAGTGCTTTTCAAATGTTATTTAAGAAAGACCAATTTCCAATAGTGTCATTCGTAGGGGAGTCTGCAAGATATTTTTTCCATATAGAGAGTTGAAATTACATTTTTGGTTTCATACACAGAGTTACAGGGAAAGTGTGGGATACTCCACGACGTTTTAGTTTAAAATCTAGGAATTTGCAAAGACTTGTAAGTAGATATTTTAACTATTAGACATTTTTGGAAAGCCAAAGAGGTGAGGGTATTTTTGATATTTTATGCAGACATGCTTATATGACATTTTTTGAGAATAGCATATCTGTTAAAAAAGCCGATAAATGTACGAAAAGTTGCTGTTTCAACCTATATGTAGCTACACCAACGAGTACGTAGGTGTATATAATCATTCTCAATTACGTCTGCTACCCAGAATACTTAAATTACTAGATCTAAGAAAGAAATATACGAATTATAGCATAAAAGTCGATGTTTATAACAAAACGGGTTGATTTTTGGATACTTTATTATATGGTCAAATCTATCGGTAACACCCTGATCTGCAGCATCTTTAAATACTCTCCATTGTTTTTACTGTAGGGGACATACAGGGTTATAACCGGTTATAACCCTGTATATACGAAAGATTGCCATCTTACTCTGGAACATCGCATATAGTATCTACAAATAGTATAAGAGTAACTAAAGCAGTAACTTTAGTAACATCTACAACTTCAATTCATTCTAAACCATTTTGATTTTTAAGGCTCCACCTCACTATGAATACAAATATGCTGTTCACGATCCTCACACCCACGACGTTAAGGAACAAGCTGAATCGAGGGTAGGAGACAAGACTAAGAGCGAATTGGCTTGGGGAGAACATGACAGGCATGCGGAAGTCCACAGGTTGATCCACAACACTGGCACTTTGGTCCTGCATGGACACCATGGACACGGATATGGAAAGTGAAGTAAATGCTGTTATTCGTTAAGTTGATGTGATTGTATCTGTTGTATATTTTGTATGTTGTTATCTACTCGATTCTTGTAATAAAATATGAAGATAATATGTTTATGGTTTTTATTGTGATAAGAGACTACTGGCTGGAATAAACCAGATGCAGTCGTTAGTTAAGCAAGCTAACTTATGCAGTCTTTGTTTTCAAAGGAAGTTATCAACATTTTATTATAGCGAGTTTTCCACTTTGTGTATAATACATTAGATTCTCTCAAAATAGTCCTAAAAGCAAATTATGTATATTCATATCCCATATACTGCCATATTTGCTCTGAGTTTTTGGAACTTTATTGGCGTTTTTTTAAAAAGCATTTGTCATGTCACCGTGAAAATATGTAACCTTTAACAAAGTTCTAGCAGAATGTATGAGAGCCATTTTTAAGAACTGATTGCGCATCGTGTTGGTTGTATGGTTATACTGCTTTGTCTGTCGCCATGTCAAGTGACTCTAGTAATTCGAGAGCAAAAAATGTTCCTCGTGCTGAAATGAGTCAGCAGCTTGTTGAATTAGGCGCGCTATCCCAAACCGTTGGCAGAACCTGCCCCCTAGCAGCGACGCTCTGCTTCATGACAATGCTTGGCGCTCACGTTGCGGCAAGAACACAGACGAGACTTGATAAGTTTCGTTGGAAATTACTGGATCATCCACCTTAAAGCACTGACTAAGCACCAAGAGACTTGGAAAATGAAACCATGTTGAAAGAAACATCTACTAATTGGCCTTGCCAGGCGGCAACATCCTTCATCAGACGAAATCTAATAGCTGGTGCTATGAGTCGACAAATGTTTAGCATAAACATAGTGACTATGTTGAAATTGAAAAAATGTTCATATGTTAGTCTGTCATAAAATTTAAGTTCATAAATAAAGTTTCTCTGATTGGATTACAAACCGCTGGTTACTTAAAAATAACCCTCGCAACCTCATATTATAAATCCGTATCAGATCGTATCTTCATTGTATTATCCAAATATCAACGCATCATTGTCTTTCCTAAATCTGGAGAAATAAATATTTCTAATTTGGAAACTTGTTATCTAGGCACGCATAGATTCCGAATCTGATATTAATAATGCGCTAGAACCAAACGCGGCTGAGACTCTTCCAAAGGTCTTGGCTCTCTTGTGGAAACAGGGGATGCAATGGAATGTAAGAGTCAAGACCAAATGGAGACGGGTGGGGGAAGTGAACCAAATCCAATAATATTAAAGTCATTGTTATTGTATCTATTTTATATTTTGTGTGTTGCTATCGACTCGCTTTTTTCTGATGTTGGAAGGAATATGGAGTGTAATGAACAAAATGCGGTGGTAATCTAGGATGTAGTAAGCTCAACGTAGCTTATGCAAATATTGGTTTCAAAAGAGGTCTTTATTATTTTAATTTTCCGCGATTTTGGGCGCATGGGTAGCAAAAGTCAATGCACACTGTTGTATTTGTCATGCAAATTATCAAAAACTCCTTTGTGGATATAGTATAATTTTTTGAGTAGATTAGAAACCTGGTATAAATGTCACGCTAGAACTCAAGGGCGATTTTGAACAATACATTTCTTTGTCCTCACGACATGTTTTTGAAAGTTATATTCGAGTCATCTACACATTTGTATCAAGCTTCATCAGATTGAAATTATGGAAAATCTGAACGAAGACTCCTCTGAGTAATGCAGTGGATTGTGGAAATTTTCTCATAGGAAACTAATAAATTATAGAACTTTTTCTTTGTAGCCCATTCTCGCTTCCAGATATTTAAAGTGAATAAAGCTTGATACACCTGGTATAGATAATTTGGGGCGCATGACCCTTCAAATTTGAGGTAGAGACTGGGCCTATTAAGATCCGTGCTGACCCAGTCAAATTGTCATCAGGTTCGTAATCGATGCACCCTATTTATACGAGAAATGAAATTTTTCTATACCACAGATACGAAATTTTTTATAGCAAATGCTTTATATGGACCTTGTAGAACAAGTTTTGTATTTTTATTCCCGGTTGATTCAAGTGAACAAAAATCAGTACTTTAAGGTAACTTGGAATGCTGAGTCTGATTATTATGACTAAAGCAATCGTGATATGTCATGGGGCATAATTTAAGTCGCAGGTCGTAGGGTTAAAATAATATCAGATTCGTAATCTACGAACCCGATATGGCTAAGGGACAAGTTTTCTTCCAGATAGCAGATAGGCAGTTGTTTTTGAAAATTGGGCAACCTTGACAAATGATAGGATTTTGTACGGCAAAAATTCCATTTTTGCCTCCCGCTAATTCAAGCGAACTTGGGATACCTAGGTGATTCCAGCTGTATAATTATTTATTATGGTTAAAAAAATTGTGAGGGGTCGCACAGAATGGGTCGCTCAGAACTCGTCGTTGACATTAGATTCATAATCTAATCTAAGCATTCGATTTAGTAGGGCATTAAAAAGAAAACTAAAAAACTGAGAGCATTAGTTTCCCTTTTTTATTAAGAGTTGAGCAATTGATAACATGACTATAACAATATATACATACAAAAATTCTCATAACAGCATCATAACAATAGCCTAGCACACCGCAGTATGTATTCTCTGTCCCCATCAGTGACCATGATGATGGGAAATCACCACTGGAACAGGATGGTGAATCACCCTGTGTACTTCAGCATGTCTGTCATGTTCACCCCAAGCCAATTCGCTGTGGGTATCGTCCCCTACTCTGACTTCATGTTGCTCTTTTACGTCATGCGTATGGGGACTATGGACGGCGTATTTGTACTCGTAGTGAGGTGGGGCCTGCAAAAAAGAATATTTATTTTCACTATTATTGTTGATAAGAGTATAGAATATATCAGAATAAGAAGCATTAATTATGGCTTTCATTCTCGTTTAAGATACTCACATAAAAGTCAACAACATGTCCATGACCGTATCCAACTCCACCGCCTGCTCCTTCTCCGACTCCACCTCCAAGTCCACCACCAAGACCTCCTAGACCTCCAAAACCATGGTATCCAAGAAGATGACCAGCATTGGCCAAAGCCATCAGACTGAATACGAGGACTACCTAAAAAAGATAAACACGGATCCTAAGGCCGAAAGTACGTCAAAAATAACATGTTAATCCCACACCAAGATACAGGCGATAATTTCAAAATCATGAGAAGAGATGTTTTTTGCAGATATATCGACTTGAAATTTTGTGCCTGCTCTACTAAATGCACAAGCAAAACAAGAAAGCATTTTGATCACTCTCACAACACCAGTTGTATAGAAACTGCGAAATTTTGAACACTATAGAATGGCAAATAAATATATAAACATTCATGTTTTGTGCTTTATCAGTCTTATCAGTGGCGAATACTTCACAACCCGTGTCATGGTAATGGGACACTTTAAGATCTATGTTTGTAGGACTCTTCGATGTTATTTCTGAATGTGCTTCCTACTCAAGATATATAGCTTTTGCTTTTTGAAGCAGTTTATATACATTAGATTATGGCATTATTTTCAGACTAGTGTCAATCACGCTGTTAGAACCGTCTACTGAAAAAGATGATATGACTGTCTCCAAATGATATGCCTAGAATTGTAGAAATATAAAAATGTTTGATTCTACTCTATTCTTTGTTTGAATGAAAATTTGACGTGCCTTGGATAAACTTGGCTATTGTTACTGTTTCTAAACTGAACAAATATTATGATGAAGTATTGCTTACTTGAGCGATCATATTGTTGTCGCTAGATAATCAGGTACTATTCAGTTACAGATTTGGATTGCACTGATTTGATATTCCTGCAAACAACTTTATATACTAAAGCCAATCATACGTTCACTAAAACTGTGTGTGTACTTGAAATGCATAATAATAAAACTTAATTTCAGTTATGCGTTTTTAGTCCTGTTTGGTAGCTGTTTTAGTGGTCAAAAGCGTGAGTGCAAATATTATGCAATATTATAATGATATTGTAATGAATTCATACGTTCTGACCCAGAATGTTTGTTTTTGTTGTTTCTCCTATGGGCAGTGTCGCTAGATTCCTTATTTCAGTTTTTGTTCTTATTGCAATAATAGTGTCAATATTATACCAGAATATAGTAAGTAGGTAACATGATGATTTTCAATAAATAATTGCAATCATACAAGTTGTTAATGAAGTATCTGTCCAAATCTTAGAGGTGATTCTGGGACGAAAAGAACAAATACACATAGGCCAGATAATGCTTTAATTTTATGTCGATTTTTCGTAATCATCTTAATAATTCTTTAGCTATTTTTGTATGCATTTATTGGATTTTTGTGTGCACAGATGTAACGCAAACGGATATAAATCTGGCGATTTAGATGGATATGAGCGTTTGTGATTTTAATAAAGAATTAAATTTCTAAAGACGCTTTCATCTATTTTTTAAAGATATATGGTATATATATCTCGAGATGTGGTACAACAGTGTCAATGGGCTCAAAGTTCTGCTATGAGGAGGAAGAAGATCGGTACACGAGATATAATAGAAGTTTGATATTTATCGACGTTCTTATCATCTGTAGTAGCTGGTTCATCATCAACACCTGTACACAGTGGCTCAAGCTTGCATGGATGAAGTACTACTTCGAGACACACACTTTTTCAAAAACTATTCAGGACTATTCTACAATGTCCCTGAATACATTTTGAAAATATTTAGGATTATACAGGGTGTTTACCTGCGTAGCAAAGGTGCAGTTTGATACATGCCTATAGGTAGTTTTTTACATATTTAAATACATACTTATGGACTTTGTTGAGTAGTTGTTGAGATAATAATTATGTATTTTGAAATGAGAGTATGACAAGCAATACGTCGACGTCTTTAAAAGGCACTGAATTTTATGTAAGAAGGATTTTATAATTTTTAGTTACCTAGCTTAAGAAATTATTGAATTGTTAGAGTCAGTTAATTGTAGAGCTCTCAAAACACATAATTCAGTGTTCCTTAAAGCCCACATGCACAGTATTTTTATATTTTAAGATCATTTCTAAATTCTTTTTAGATATCTAGTCAAGTGTCTTTATGTGACAATATTAAACGAATCATTTTAAAAATCTAACTTTTTCACTCTATTAAAATGATTGGGGTACCGGTTAGCATACTTAATATTATTATTAATTTTATTATTAATATTAATAACAATAAATGCTTTTATTTATAATGATACATTATAAATGGGCAAAGTTTAGCCTCTGCTATTCTTCCACTTAACCCTGGTGTGACATCGGATACTAGAAATTTATATACATGACATAAAAATGATCCTTTTCTTTTTTTTTATTAATACATATATACATATTCACCAAATATGTTAAAATAAAGCAATGTAAAAGTTCAATATAACCACTACAATTAAATATTATGCAGAAGGTGCAACTTTAAATTTAGTTTAAATGTCTTCAAACTCATATTTTACAGACCGTTTGGTAGATAATTTTATAAGTAGATTACATTAAATGTGAATGAACTTGTGAATATAGTAGTCTTGTGTTGAGGCATAGTGAATATAATATAAACGAAAAACGAATATTTCTGGTGGGGTGGATTATATCATGACGAGGAATGAATTTTCTGTACAACTATAAAGGTTTCTTATTGAACGTTGTTCTATATACGAATGTAAGCAATAAATCAGTTCATAGGAATGATATGGCCTGACGTGTAATCATATCTCGTTAGATTATTTATCAGATGACAACAGTAATTTTGGATTTTCTGCAAACGTTTTGCTGTATGTTGGTATAGGCAGGGATAATACAATGGCTTACAATAAATAATTATTGTCCATGTGTTTTACATAAAATATATAAAATCTGGAATGTTTTATAAGAATATAGATATTCAACGAAGCAGTTGTGACTGTTGCAATTGATTTTTGGCATCGTTTTCATATTGAATACTTACACACGCTTTAGCAAAGAAGCACCATAGTTTCATTGAAAAATAAAAATGTCAGTCCCTTTAAATGGGTGCTTGGACGTATTGAGTCTACTCATCCCGACTCAGATGACCTCACACAAGTAGAAACTGTCAAAACCGCTAAAGGATGCTTTAAGCGTCTACTTGCATGCAATGCCGACTTCCTTTTGACTAAATCCGCTAAATCTGGCAACTTACCGCGTAGTTATAGTTTACTCGAATTTGTTACTTACCGCTTAGTTATAATTTACCCCAATTTGTAATTAATAATAAAAATCTTCATCTTTTATTCAACGTATCACTTTATCAGTGACATGGAATTCGTCAAAAAAGAGAATAGTAGAGTAGAAAGTGAACATCCAGCGTAAATTGACGATGTGTGATAGATTTTGCTATCGATAAAAATTTCTTTATGGCGCGGGTTGTAGTTTTGCACATCAGGATGTCTCTTTAATTTATGTTTATTATTTTGAAAAAATATATCACTAATTTTAATATATAGATCCACGTAACTGTCAGAATGTGATCTTCATCTTCACATGTAAATCAATATTGAACTTGCAACTCGCATTTGTAGCACCAGTACACGTTGAACATCCCTAGCTTACCCCTTACAGTAAGAGATAGCTGAGTAAGTTGTTACATAATAAATATCTATTACCCTCTATATTCAAGATATTTTTTAGGGAATTTACCAGATATAGTTGTAGTCACCGTTCTTGACGGTTACGTCATCAACGCCATATGAAAGAAGTAAACAGATCGAGTTTCCGTTCCATGGGCGCATCTGCATCTCCAGTACGCATGAAGTGGGTAACAGGGGGACGCTGTTTTCATTCTGTTCCTAGAAAAGTCGGCGTTCTCCATTGATCGTATTTCCGGTCATTGTACAGTTTTATATTGAAGATTGATAACAGGACAACTCAAATTGCACGCCGATGTCAAGTAAGTTGTTACTCTGACAAATATGATTTAAGCACACTCATACGTAACGACAAAGTTGTCGAGACGGAGACACATAACTAAAAAACGTATGTTTTGTGCTTACCGAACAAACGTTCACACACAGGGGTAGGTTGAATGTATATGTATGAGGGAGATGGAGATATATAAAGGGATATTGGTAGTCTTATTTTGACCCGCCAAGAACGGTGACTACAACTATACTAACTATTACTTCTATGAATGTGTTAGGGCCCCAATGAAAGTGTAGTGTATACTTGTTGAGGGTCTGTATTTCGTGTACGATTTCATAGACACGGTCTCACTGAAATTCACAATTAACCAATTTTTGAAATACCAGTCAAATTCTTTCAGAACTGTCTGGATTCTTCGTTCTAGCTTTACAGGTCTATCATTAGTATTCTTGTATCATCGGCATACAGATATGGTTCACCTTCACTCATGTGCTGAGGTAGACCATTCACGAAGAAAAAAATTAAGGATCCCAAGACACTGTCTTGAGGTGTCCCTTGGTCGATATCAAATTCGTCATACCTTGCCTCACCAACTTTGACACAAAATCGTCGTTTTCAAAAAAAAAGTTAGCCAAAAGTTAACACACCTACGTATTCCTATACTATAAGGTTCTAGTAAGGTAAAATAAAATTACCGTTGCAAGAAGTTCATTGTCGATGCAATCAAATATATATTGCACACATTCGGTGGTGGCTACCTCTGTAGAGAATCCAGCCCGGAAACCAAATTGACAGCTGCTTAAGATGTAATTGGTATTAAGATCAGATTCAATCTCAACCGCTATAGCCTTTTCAATTATATTGGAAGAGATGCTTAACATTGCTCTTGGCCTGTAGTTTTCAATATTTAAAGGGTCGCCTTTTTTCAAAAGCACTGATGGAAAGACATCGTTCATAACCGATGCATTAATACGTTCTGCCAATGTGGGAGCATTTGCTAGGTATTACTATTTTTCTTTTTCGCACACAAGTAGATTTGCTTGTACGCTTTGGTTAGTAACTCCTATTATCGCATTGCGGGGGAGTATGTTTAGTCCACACCGAATGCTTGTGTTAAATCTCCCTCTGAATAGACCGTGCGAGAATGGTCGCCCGCTCGCGGCGTACTTTGAATTCCACCGCTAACCTCAAGAGGGGGAGTTTCGCAATAGCGCAAGAGGTTCGCACAAGCCGCAACCTGCAACTTTCATAATACTCGCAACTTCGATAAAACCATTATAGTCCGCAGCGATACTTCCACAACCGCGACCAGGATTTTTCCCAAAGTACCATCTTTGGTTGCATGCTTTAAGTGCCGCCCTATTTGGACCTAGAACTCATAAGTTAGAGATGAGCTGGAGCCAGAAAGGAACCTCCAAAAGAAATAGGGACCAAGAAGGCCTCCACTATTAGTTATTTTTTTTATAGGGTTTTCGGAGGGTACAGCTAACCCGGCTTTTTTTACTCGCTTCAACTCACTAAGATAAACATATTGCTTTCATCCGTCCCACCAAAAGACAGCCAACCACGAAATAGCTAACCATGTTTAGTTTTTTCAACGGCAAGTTGACCACATCTTCTACACAGCCAGAATCGTCAGCCGTATAGCGGTTACATGTCGAATCGGATATTACACGCGAACTGAGATCTTCACTGTTTCAACAAATGGCGCTTTGCGCTGTCTTATCTCGATCCAGCTCACTAGTGAGATACCCTGTACAATCCTGAACATTTTTGAAATGTATTCCTCGTGTCTCGGAATAATGTATCATCCGTATAAGTTTGGGCAATCCTGCACATATGATGGAACGGCAATGTTGGTGAACCGGACAGTAGGGATGACGGTAAGATCGGAAACATTGAACAACCATTACATAACATGTACTGAGCCAAGAATAAGCTGGAATAAAGTACGGACTGCCAAGTATCGAAGCCATGTATCTCACAAGATAGTCATGGAAAAATTTTGGGCCCATGGACATTTCTGTTCTACAACAACTAAGTACATTAAGAAAAGCTAACAGCTATCCCTCGTAATGTTTCTGCGGCTTTTTTTTTAGCATAATCGGCCTATTGTTTATTACGAACCTTACGGAAGAAACCTAAAACAAAAACCTGGGTCCTTAGAAACACCCGTCATTTTAGTCAAGTAGCAACACCATGTATATTTACTATAAGATGAAGGTATACTACACACATGTATGAGAATATAACATAACATTAACTAAAGTTCATATTTAGTTATCATCTGGTCTACGCATATTTGATAAGCATCGAAACCATAAAGGAATTACAAAAAGCTAATTAATCCATTGTAATGCATAGTTACAATGCATTATATTTATCTATGAACCTAGTAAGTAATGTTCTCATTCAATTGTATTCTTATATGTGCAATTATAGAATAAGCAAAAATCAAAATCATAATTTCTCAATGACTGGATAATAAGCAGCAAAAACAGAAATTCGGGGTCAGAATTATTTATGATTTATTTATAATTCTATTATCCAACATTGCACAGTAGTAGCACTCACGCTTTTGACCGCGAAAACATTGACCGAGCTGCACTAAAAATGCATAACTATGATACAGCTTTATGCATTTCAAATTCAAGTACAAACCTGCCAATTAGTGAACGTATGCTTGGTTTTAGTATATAAAGTAAATCGAGGAAATATCTAATCAGTCAATCTAGATCTGTACTACACAATCACCTTAATAATAGGTACCTGATAAAGTAGCAAGAACATTATGATCGCACAAGTAAGCAAGCTTTGGTTACATATTTTTTTAACCTAGATACTTAGATACCACTGATATGGGGTGATTGCTGTGTCAGATTTTTAAATTTGAGTCTTCTTGGAATCGATTAGTTTCCGAAAAGCATACAGTTGATCTGTAAACATCACTGTCTTAGTACATTGCTGGGAGTAGCGTTCACTGTATTAGCGCACTAAGTATAGAGTGTAGTATTGTTATCATACAGGGTGTTCTGCAATTTTGGACTTTCCCTTATTTGAACAACACACCTAATGCGCGGTTAAATAGCAGCAAAAACAAAAATATAATTAATTGACCATTTGCTAAGAAGTTTAATGTACCGTCGTATCAGGTGTTACTTATTCTGTTTGAAGTTGTCGTCGTACGTTTCAAAAATAAAAGTTTGTCAACTTCTTTAAACGGCGTACGATATATGGTTATACAGTGGTGACTTGTCGGCAACCGGCGCGTAGGTTGGATCCTAGAGAGTTTTTAGTGTAACAAAAAGTAACGAATCGGTAAGCCTTCCGTTAAGTTATTTTTCACAGCAAATAACGAATGTTGTCAAATAAAAAAGGAGTTTTTATGATCACTAAAGTGGGCCGTGGAAATTTGACTATACTGACTACTGACAGTCATGAGAGGTTGCCAATTTATTTTTTGATTTTGACGTGAAGCTAACTCCAAAACTTGTTAATTTTTTTATAGGAGAGTATCGGTAATACTTGTGTCCAAACCAGAGAAGAAATGAATAGGTTTGGTCTCAGAAGTATAGAAGGACTAGACGTAATACAATAAAAAGCTATCTTGTCACATTGCATATATAACAAAAATCAGGACAATTCAATTTATTTGAAACATTGCCTATTTCTTACATTTATTTTTAATATGTGGTCTTAAACTCATATTATTATTATATTTTTTATTTTATGAAATTATTTTAATTAAGCTTATTCAGTTTTACAAATTCCAGCAACACCGCTGAATAAGGAAAGTATTACCTTAGGAAGTAAGAATATAGTAATTCTTTGTAACTAACAGTGCTTTCTTAATTCAATAACGGATAACGGAAAATAGAACTAAGGAAGATTACAGCGAAGAAAAAAACAACAGTGCTAAGTAGTCTAATAATATTAGACGAAAATACCCCTGGGTTGCGAAATAATTGTAAAGTCTGGTTTTATTGGTGAAAGTTGTTCAAGAGGGGATTCAAAACATGGACGCATAAAATGGGTACACCAATTTTTGTGGGAAAACTTTTTATTCAACAATAAAGAATGAGAAAACGTGTTTTTTCGGATTCAGTCGGAAGTGTTGAGAAGAACAAAAAACTCCATATAAGATCTTTAGGCCTACAAAATGAGTTCTTACGTAAAAAGGTCCGACTAATAGCAAAAAGATTATGGCCGAAAACCGAGGCAAACTGCAGATTTTGGAACCTGTTGGTCCACAACAAAATTGGAGTAGATTGGTCAAGTAATTTTTGAGATAATCTAATTGTTTATCCCAAAACACCTGTTTTCCGGCCATCACTACTAGTTTATTGAACAATATACGGAGTTAGTTCAAAGGACATTTTATATCAAAATGCACTAGTTTAACTTGCCGATATGCAAAAAAGGATGGGTTACGTTTTTTCTGCTAAACAAATTCAAACAATTCGTATTTGTAAGTGTTTCGCAACAAAAGATCATAGATATCCGCTTTGTTTTAAAATGTGTATGTTTTCGAGAATCGTAGCGCATTTGTCCAATTACGTTCATGTTTTAAATACCCCCTTGAACAACATGCAACAATAAAACCAGACTTTACAATTATTTAGGGGAAATTTGCTAATACGATTAGACTAAAGCTACGCGTCGCACCTTTTCACCTTGTCTTTTGTTGGTGACAAAGCTGGACTTGATATCGTTTTCGCTACTTACTAACTCGGTTACTTTAAGAATTCTTATATAAACTATACGCTGCGTAAAGGAAAGCCTCAGCCAATAAAATTCACTTATCCCTTAGTTGGATGTTACGGTGAAATAGATCAATTCACCCAAAATCACATAGAGGAATTTTGTCTCCCTTATTTTAGATACAATTCAATCACTTGTTGTACTTTCTTCTATATTGATGAACACCCTGATCGCTTTGTTGTTCTGCTATGTATGAGAAAACGTTTTTGGGCTGCACTCTAGCTGCGGATGATTTTTTTGAAGTCGGTACATTTCGAAAACTAGAATACCCCAATAACTCTCTAGACAAAAAGTGCTTTCGAACTATAGAATGTATAGAAAATTCTAGACATAAGTAAAACTAACAAATAACTGCCTACAATTTGACAAAATATGATATACATATAGATCTCAAAAATACCGAAAACTAACACATCAGTTGCCTGTGACTTACCACGCTATAAAGGTTTTTACAATACTCGCAGTATTCATGTATAAATTTCATCAAATTTTGGCTTGCTAACTTGACCCGTTCAAAGAATTGATAAGCGGTGCTTTTCAGAAATTTATTCCTCACTTTTGTTTTTTAGTAACTTTAGGACTTAAGTAAAAATAACAAAATATATGTTGTCAATTGTGTATGTCAAAAACGGTACTGTTGTTCGATTTTACACAATAAATAGCATTGCAGCATTGCTCTGGCGTACTAAGATTGCGTTGGTAAACCATATTTAATTGTGATATCTCTTTTAGGTAGTTTTTGTAGCTAGCCTGATGGCTTTCGCCAATGCTGGCCACCTTCTTGGTCACCACAGTTGGGGTCTAGGTTTTGGAGGAGGATTTGGTGGTGGACTAGGTGGACTAGGAGGAGTTGGTGGTATTGGAGGAGGAGTTGGTGATAATGGAGGAGGAGTAGGTGATGGAGTTGGGCATGGACACGTTGTTGACTATTATGTGAGTAATAAGTTGGAGGTAAACTAAACACCGTGATTTGCGAAATTATTCATAGGTAGCGACTCACCTTTGTTTTATTATTCACACATCACAATATGGAGTTTTTCAATAAACTCATTTTCTCTTGTTTGATTTGCGTCACTTGTCTTCAAATGACTAGACCTAACCGTATTGAAGATTGCTAAAAAGCATGAGACCACGTTGAATATGATTAGTTATGGTCGCAAAGACAGGAAGCAAATAGATCCTATTAATCCCATTGAGCTCTTCGTTATGAAAATCGCACCAAGGATTCCAAAAAATATGGAAAGATATATCAGAAGAGGCGTTACCCAGTTTTATTATTTCACGGCTGTAATAAAAATCGAATGAACAGTTTTACAGCCAGCGCCATTTGGGAAGCCCTATATAAGTAGATGATATGGAATGATATTGTAAATTTTACCGTCTGGGCAGTTATAAAGGAGCGAGCATGAAAATTGCGTTTTGGGAATTAGTTGAGTCAGAAGAACTCAAAGCACATTCTGAATCATCTTCTGACGCTAGTATACGTATCAAAAGAAGCACATAAATATTGAGCGACATAAGTATGAAGCGTAACATAGAACTCCCGTTTAGTGTAACGTCAATTTGGCTTTTTTGTGCAGTATGAATTAGGTACTCGCCTAAGCGTTTTGTAGAGTAGCAAGATGACTAAACCTGCTTTTCTTTCAGGCTCCTCCGCACTACGAATACAGATATGCTGTCCACGATCCTCATACCCATGACGTGAAAGAACAAGCTGAAGTAAGAGTAGGAGATGAAACTCACAGTTCATTGGCTTGGGGTGAACATGACAGACATGCTGAAGTACATAGGCTCATTCACCATTCAGTTCCAGTAGTCATTGCCCATCATCATGGCCACGGATGGGGAAAGTAGAGACTTGGGAGGTCTCGAGTTTTGCACATAATGGCGTTGTGTGGATATTTGTTTATAATATTTTAGTTATGTTTTCAATGGCTCAACTCTAAATAAAAAGAGAACAAGTTGAAATATGAATGTTCATCTCTAATAATCACGTGTACACTTTAAATGGTGCGTCTCCTTTGTGTTGAAAAGTGAGCGAATCGCCCTTTATTTATCAAGCACAATTCCTTAAAGAGCTTTTATCACCACTGTGGCCGCTAGAAGTCGCCAATCTTGGTGCTATAGTAGATATAATCTGTCCTTCGGCAAGTAGACTGTATCTGCTATAGCACCGGAATCGGCGGTATCTAGCGGCCATAGTGGTGACCCAGTTGACAATACGAATTGTGTTACAATTCCAACAGACAACTTGCTGTTTTCACTCTCACAGTGGCCGGTTCTGGTAATAGGTGGCACTTTGCGTTGTCTTATTTCGATTGTCAACATTTTAGGGTCATAAAACACGCTTTCCTTGCGCTCAATAGACGTGTACCTTAATAAAATTCTGCAACATTTGTTCTTGATAACTTGATACGGGTACCATGGTATTATGCTGTGTGCCCTAACATTTAAAGTTACGAAAAGGCTATAGGCGAAACTACGTATGAAAATTGTCGCGAATAATATGCAAACCTGGATCGATTCTAATTCAGGTATGTTGGGTCTAATTTTCAGACCGATAGGTTGCACCCGGGGCCCTCCTGAAGCAGCAAGGTTACATAGATCTGGAAAGGTATTTGATACTGTCGACCACTCTCAGCTACTACAATTTTAGGCAGTAAGAGCAGCTTTTTAAGAATTATCTAAATGACAGAATAAAATATTTAAATATGAACAGAGTATTAGTAAACCTCTAACTGTTAAATATGGAATTCCACAAGGGACGGTACTAGTACCTCTACTATTATTATATCTACTTAGATGAACTATACAATGCACCAACGGTAGGGAAAACAAGCAGCTTTATGGCCCACACTGTCGTCATTTATCAGGCTGAGACGTGGGATAAATTAAAATGTGTCGGTGAAAAAAAAAACACTATCAAATCTCGTCACATGGTTTAAATCTCGATTATCGACAATGAATGACGAGAAAACTAATTTTGTACCATTCTCGTCAAATGTAAATTTATCACTGCCCTATAATCTCCTGAAGCTATCTCTTTCTCTAAGTATTTCAGAACTTCGGATAATATACTATGCCTTTATATAATGTCATTTGAATTACGGCTTAACAGGGGTTCGGCTAACAAAAAACATTTATATTAACATGAAATAATAAAAACAAATATTGAAAATAATACATAACCTACTTAAAACATATCCATCTGGTCAGAAGGTCTGAGTTTTTTTAGCATAAAATAACTTCTATAACCTTACAGATGATCAATATGAAAACAGAAAATCTTTAAACCACGTTACTCATACTTACCAAACGAGGAACAGAAAAGACTTGGCTAGAGTACCACTACCAGAAAAACCTCGTTTCTGAGATCTTATTCTTTCTTAGTTTCTAGATCGTTTAACATCATTTATTCTGAAATCAAATATATAAGAAATTTTAATGAATTTAAAAAACAGCTATAGGTGCGCCTATCTCGAATAAGTATAAATTGATTTAAAAATACTAACTCTGTTATTTAATGTCTACATTTTTAATTCTGATAGTATATTTTAATTGTGATTGCGTAACCTGTATGTGGCTTCTTACCTGAGCTGCTTTCCAGTGACCCATTTGAGTTACTCGGAGTTACTCGAAGTAACTCGCTAGTTCACAGCACCAATATCGTTCCACTGAACTTGGTATCACCATAAAATTCCCTAGTGCAGTTCGGAAGCATATCACTTTTAAACCAAAAACCACTAGAAAGCAGTTCTGAATGTGAGTCTTTTAACTGTGCTATTGTGTCTTATTTTTATATTCTATGCTATTCACCCACGTACAAGGGATATTTCTTCCTGCGGGACTCTCATTTGTTTGCTACAACTACAAATCCTACATAATATAAGAAAATCACTTTTCAAGTTGCGTAATATGGAAACCGAACAAGGCATTTCGACAATATGCATGCGATATAAACACTGTTGACAGTTTCAATCTGTTTTAATAATCACAAAACGTACAAAACGTCAATAAGAATACAATATATACAGGCGATAATAATAAATAACGCAAATCTCCTAATACTTCATGGCAAATCAGTGGTGGTAGTAGTCATGTCCTGCAGACAGCACTTTGACTGGAGCAGCGTAGATGGTCTTTGCAGGAGCGGGATGGACAGGGTGTCCATGTTTCTCGACCACTGCGTTGAAACCGTTATGGTCGTCAGCGGTGTAGTGGACAGTCCTTAGGGTACCGTCGGGCTCAGCTACTGTGTAGTATCTGTCAAATTCAAGATGATTATCGTTTTTAATTAAGTATATTATATATACGCGGAAATCCTATTTGGAAAAGCCTTTCTATGAGAGGTAATCGCAGCTGCCATTTTTGGCAGACAATCTCTAATATTCCTGAGCTATTTCGAATAAGCTGGACCTAAAAAGCTTCGTCCACAAAATATTTTGTAAAGTAATGGATATTTCCATTGGTACCACTTAAACAGATTTCTTGAAGCATTACATGCTGATATGCACTTTTCTGACGATGGTGGAATAAGATTGACAAAATATACGCTGAAAAAGCCACAATAAGAGTTTCTTATCTTATATCTATAGTCCATTTATCGAAGAAAGAAAATAAACCCAAACCTATTCACGCATACTTCACGTGAACAAGTGACCGAACTAACACTGACGGCCGGCGAGGCTACATATACCGCAGTGTTGTCTCCCACTCCACATTTCTGGTTTCTCATTAGTCCTGTATATGGGCTCGACCGATTCTGCCCAACAACAGTTATGTTCTTCCCGTTTCTTGACATATCGTGCGGATCACGCACAAAACTCCCCCTGGTTATTGCTTTGGTTTAATGTCGTTCTTGGATAAATAGACTATAGGAATGTATCATGTGGGTGGTATGACTAGATTAAACTCGTGAAGATAATGATACTGAATCAAGGGTTTCTGACGTGCAACAAATTGTTGAAATTCAAATATGTTGCAACTATTTTATTAAAATATGTCCGGTTATATCTATTATAAATCTACGTTTTTTCTCAGTTTATATATTATACTTTATTATTATAAGAGTTATTGTTTTACTGCTTACCCCTTTACTACGTCACCGTCTCTTTCCTCGTGTTGGCTCTTGTGGTCTCCTGTATGTCCATCTTGCACTCCATATTTGAATTCGTATTTAGGATGAGCCTGGAACAATACGTGGTTTTGAAAAAAGAAAGCGTTTCCTTTTTGGGCAGCAACTCAGTTCTAAAGATAATAATACTACGAACAATGACAACACTGAAAAACTATGCTCTTAATAAGTTATGTTTAGCTTGCTATATAACATTTCTCACGTACAGAGGCAAATTAATCAAGAAGTCTCCATGTTTTTTTTGGCCGTATTTGGAAGAAAGCCAACGACGTGCCCGAAACGTCAGTAAAATGTCGACCATACATATCTGGTTTCATTTAATGACTAATATCAACGAGAACTATCAGCATCAATACCAACTTAATATCATTTTTCGCCTGCAAGAAGTACGTATACATTATGATTGTATACTTTTTGTCTGAGAGCTTTTTAACGTAAACAGTTTAGTACAAAGATGCGACGTAATAAGTTCTAGCGTGACGTAATTGTTTTCATGCCCTATTCTTAGAAAATGGACATATTTCTTGCCATGACAGCATAATATGAAACGTATCGATATTCGGAATTAAAATCTAACCCTGTTTTACTGCTACATTATTATTCCGGACTAGGCATTTGTCAATTCTTGGCAACTAGATGATTTAATAACAATTTTAAGAGAAAAAACCGAATGTGACACAAGCTCCCTACAAAACATCATAATATGTATGTATTTTTGAGTTAACTTCACGTCAGCCTATATTGTTCATTTTAATGTTTATTTTGTTGTTATTTTTGCACACATCATAGTAAAAATAAAAATATATTCACTTATATATGATATTTGGTTATTATGCTTCCTTTATTCTCTTTACGCACCTATACATTCATTTCTTCGCTCTAATCACACATGATGCTGTAGGAAACATATAAAATTTGACCGTACCGCTATTACCAATGTTTTTTAGTTTATAAGGCACGTAGTGTAACCCACGTGAAACTGTATGATATATAGCAATTAGACACATTTTAATTCCGAGTTATTCCACATCTCTACTACTCGGCGCTGTGATCGAATTGACGGTCCATAGCGGCATGGCTGATTCCTTTTGCGAGAAATACAAAGATTTCAATGAGTGTTTTGTAACATACGATCAAAATATGAGGCTAAGCTGCATTATGTTTGAAATATGAACTGAAGGAACCTAAGTCAACAATTAAAATTGCAATTTTTTCTAGGGAGAGAATATCCCACTATGATACTATTTTCATAAAGTATATGACACGTGAGAACGTGTTTCCAGCTGAAGGATAAGAACACTAAAAGCATGAATTCATATGAATCATATTACATTTGTGAAAAGAAATTACTGTGACCAGCCGAGGGCTAGTCCACCCTAGCCAAACTAAACATGTTGAACGCTTCTGAAAGCGCAACCTTTCTAAAATAACCTGTAACCTGTAACTATTATTTCAATACTTACATAGTAGTCCACATCATGATGAGCATGATGTCCTCCATAATGCACGGGGGCAGCATGAGCCACTACTGGGGCGGCATGTACTAAGGGGGCAGCGTACGCTTGGTGATGAGCAATTGGGGCGGAGTAGCTGTGATGGTGTGAAATGGGGGCGGCGTATGTATGTGCGAGGGGGGCAGCCACGTGGCCAGTGGGGTACGTGATAGCTTGCGTGTGCGAGTGTGAAGAGTAGTCGGCGAGTCCGGCACTGGCAGTGGCGGCTGAGAGTGCTATGAGGGTTACTACCTGCACAACGAGACAAAAAGTGAGAAATTGTTTATAGAAATGCCTATTATATTTGTAATAAATGGTACTTTCAAATAATACTTATGTATTCCTATTTTACATTACTCTCATTCTTCTATAGTCAAATATGTGTATGCCTATTACTGTATCGTATTAGGTATGCATACTAAGATACGAGCTACCATTTATAACACTCAATGCGAGGTCGTATCCAGAACATCTACCATTTCTTAATACTTGATAACAAGGGTAAACTAGGTTGATTATTTGAATGTCTGAATCATGGTTGTTCTATAAAAATATTTGCTTAACCCACTTGTGTATCATTTAAAGAAACAACTGTTGATTTAGAACACAAAACAAGTAATGCATTTTGCTGTTTTGCTTCAACATATTTTTTCAATATCAAATGTCAACCGGTACGTTTGAAACTGACCCGATGTGGAAATAATATGAGCAATTTAAAAAATAAGTGAAGTTCTGAATTAAAAGTTTAATTCATGATTCAGAGTGGACATTTTTCAAGAGCCCAAATATTGAAGAAATGAGAAATGAAAACAAAAAAAAAATGTCATTATAAACTAGTGATATCCAAAGATCACAAGGTGCTACATTTAAGGATTTAGCATGAAATTATTCCCGACGAAATAAAATAAATTAAGTTTTGATTACTTATGAAGGAAAACATAAAAAAATCCTGAATTCTTTCAACATCCATTGATGAGCAAACAAAAATATTCCCAATGACACACTGCACAATATCACGAAGATGTTAGCATTTCTAAAATATATCAGTTTGACCCTGGTCAATTAAATCAATGAAACTTTTCACACATCTTTATATCTTATAGTCTAGATGCAAATAATTTGAGCAGATCAAAACATTATGCAAAATTTCAAATTACTAATTTGTTTCATGATATTTATAGTAGTACAACGCTTTGAAGACCCTAACAAAAAAAAGGGGCTTGAAATTGTAAAATAATAATTGGCATCATAAACTATTGATATTGAAGGCATATGAAGTATTGTATTTAAAATAGTATGGTTCATTTCCTACCAAAACAAAATTATGGCGAAAAGTTAAAATAAAAGGTTTCTCAATCCTGCAACAATGAATAAACAAACCAGAGCCAAGCTAGTACAGTGAACAATATAAAAAAAAATAATCGCAATTCGAAAATATATCCACCCATTCGAACCGATTTCGACCTGATACACTGACACTATTCACGCGTCACTTTAAAACTCCATTTAGGGGTTGGTACACACCTTGAAAAACATTTTGTTTCTAATTATTTCTGCTAATCCAATTTGTCTGGACGCTGTACCCGTACTGATTTTTTTCTCAGGGCGTTTCGTTTTTATACCTAATAGCAATGGTGGTAGTGAGTAGGTACAAAAATGATGTGAACTATACGCAATTATGAAAGTAAAAATGCCGGCGTACGTCTAAAATTGACCCAGATTCCTCTCCTATGTGTGTACGTGTGTATGCATTGCCTTATATTTTAATTGTTTCTTTCGTTAATTCGGCGGGCCTGAGGCAACGCCGACTGTGTTCACAGGTCTGATCTGATAATCGGCAAGGTCGGGCAGTGGCGGTGTTGAGAAAAAGAATAGATGCAATTTTGTGTCTGCCTATTTTGTTTTCGTGCTTTAGGATATCTAAAATTTCAGAAAAAAGGCCACGCACCAAATTTTTTCTTACCGTGTAACTGTAGTTAACGTTAAACCTCAAAATTACTTTGTTGCGTATATTAAATAAAAATATAAAACATTGGCATACGTGGTCTACAGTGGCTGTAATTGGTAAAACCTTGATACTTGAAAAATGAGCTGTACAGCCACATATGCTCTATATCAAAAACATACTATTTTTTTTTGTTATAGATTATTTATATCACTACTTCGTAATTGCTTCAATTACATGGAAGGGTGATACGTCCAACATTGACGGTGACCTTAGAATATAATTTCGTTGAAAAAGCCGTCTTGAGGTGTTGTGCTTAGTTTGTGGAGCCTGCTACTTCTTTCAATAAAATGGTACATAATGCTGATTTTTGTGCATAAATTGCATTGCCAGACCAGAGTTGTGTAAACGTGTGATTTCGCTCTCAGAAGCACTGCTTAAGCATGCAATAGTCAAATCCGTTCTTCATTTCTTAATCGCCGATAGCGTCCCTGCACACAAAGATCTTCTTTAACATACATTCTGCGACCACCACTGCACCCCTTATCTCCTTAGGCAGAAGAAATACGAGAAGATTTGGAAGAATCCAATGAGATCCGAGGAAATCGGAGGGGTTTCAAGGAAGTCGCATGACGTCGACAAAAACCCAAAGACATTCTAAGCAATCCAAGGAGATCAACGGAAATCTTTGTATCTGCGCATATACGAGTACATGTGGCACGCTTCTGTCGCCATTATAACGTATGGTTTCTGTTTCTACGGATATTACGATGCTATCCGGCAGGGATACAAATTTATCTGGGGAAAACAATTAGATGTGGTCCAAGGATTTCCACAGAGGTTCAAAAAATTTTGCGCGGACAAGATCTTTTATTCCAATAATGTGTTGGCTTTTCGAGGGGCTCCTCGACTAGCTTCCTTCAGCTAACTCAAAGCTCACGAAAATATGTCATTAATGACAGTCAATGATATCAAGGCTTTGCCTTTGCGACTGCCTTAATATTAGTCAATATTTGCCCATGAAGATGCTCAATTTCAAATATCACCCATGTCATTGGTTGGCCCGCTGACTTGATATGACATCTCGTTGTCTAACATTTTAAAATTGGTTTCTTTCCTATGCTCCTGTTGATATCTTCAACCGAAAACGAAAGCCACTTCATACGACTACCGACTCCCAATATACGAGGCTTGTTCAATAAGTTCCCGTGTTTGACGACAGAGGGCGTTCCTGAGGGAAGTTGGTGTTATCATCGCGTGCTGCCATCTATCAAATGACGGCATAACAAATTTCAGACTGATTGATAGGTTAGTTAGTTTGGATTTGGCAGACATTCGAGTAACAGGTGTTTCGTGATTTTCGCTAAGATGGAAGAGGAGCAGTTTAGTTCGGTAACTCGCTTTTCGTTTTTGAATGGAAAAAAATGCGAGGAGATAAAAGCAAAGTTGGATGCTGTTTATGGGGACACTTCTCCATCTACGACCACAGTTAGATATTGGTTCAACAAATTTAAACGTGGGCGAACATCCGTTTTTGATGAGGATCGACCAGGATGCCCGGCAGACGTGATTACCGAGGAAATCATTCACAAAGTCCACGACATGATTCTCGCTGATCAGATCGCAGAGGCCGTAGGTCTGTCGACCGGAACGGCAATCAATATTTTACATGATAAGTTGGAGATGATAAAATTTTCCGCCCGATGGCTGCCGCGATTGCTCACGGTGAACAACAAGCGGATGCGGCTGTTAACTTCGAAGCAGTGTTTGTAGCAATTTAAGCGAAATCCAAAGGAGTTTTTGCATCGAGCTGTCGCCGCTGATGAAACCTGGATTCATCATTACACACCAGAAACTAAGCAATGATCAAAACAATAGATTTCTCCCGGTAAATGTGCTCCAAAGAAGGCGAAAACCGTCCCATGGGCCGAAAAGGTCATGGCGACGATTCTTTTCCATGCGAACGGCGTCATCCTCATGGATTTTTCGAAAAAGGAAGAACGATCACCGGGTCATCACTACTTTGAGTTATTGGACTGCTTCGATAGAAAATTGAAGGAGACACGGCCACTTTGCTGTTTCACCACGAAAACGCACCGGAGTTGTCGCAGCCAAACTGCATGAATTGCGGTTATGAAGTGCTGCCGCACACCCAGTATTCACCTGATCTGGCCTCTGCGACCTTTTCTTGTTCCCTAACATGAAGAAATGGCTCGCGGGAAAAAAAATTAGCTCAAACGGAGAAGTCATCGGCGAGACACAGGCGTCGACAAATCCTATTTTTTAGAGAGGTTAAAAAATGGCAAGAACGTTGAGAAAAGTGTATCTTTCTAAAAGGGGACTATGTTGTAAAATAAAAAAAAATCTGAAAAGAAAACGGTGTCTTCATGTCTAGCACGGGTTCTTATTGAACCGCCCTCGTAGATATGTACTTTTTCACAAATGACACTGGGCACAATCCGCCCCGTAAAGTGAAATGTTACGTGCACAGACCACTTTTTTAAACTATCCCATTTCTCATTTTATGTAGATATTTTCTCAAAAAACAATTAGAGTAAAATGCAGGAGGGCCTAAAAGTTGTGAAATAGGATGTATGGTTATTGGACAAAAGCTTGCCAAATAAGTTTATTAACGGATTTAATATTACATAGGGTATTTCATCGTTCAGGGGTACCAAAGTTAGTCAGAAATAAGAATTTAAAAAGAATAATAATCATATATTACTATGTCATATCTTATACATTTGGATACATCAGACCATAGGGCTGTTGACGACTATTTGAACTTTCTGAAAAAAAAATTGACATAGAAAGTATTCATTTTCAGATGAAAGAAGTTTGTAACATTTTTCGACAACGTACATGGATCAAATAAGGTAGAATTTTAAAACAAAATGTCTCCAGCTTACTCTGCATGAATCGCAGTCTTCGAAAACAGAAGTAGCAGGGTGTTCCATCGAAGAGTTGTATAGCAAACAGCCTATACATTATTGAATATTGTAAGAAGGTTCCTCCTTATAATAAACTATCATTTTTCTATTTTCGAAACGGTTTTGCGCCGTAATAATGCTGCTTTCTGCAGCTGGTTAATTGAACACCCTCTAACTATCGTCTCCCATATCCCACAACAATGCTCTTCACACACGAGAAGCTACAGAGATGTGTGCAAATTTTCCACCACACTTTATGCATGGAAATATTCAGAAGATAAAGCATACCATTAAAAATATATTTCATTGGCATCCAGCTCAACAATATAACACTATGCATTTTGCGCAGTGTCCTTTACTTAATAATGACATGAGATTGAGGGTGTGAAAAGCCCACAATCTTCCCGGCAAAATACTAAAGCTCCACCGCTGGCATTTTTTGTATCCTGTACATTATTGTTGCTGTTAAAAAGTAGGACGCTGATATAGATCGTAGGTGTCTGTGAATAGGTTCATTACTGATTACCTTCCCTAATTAAGGAAGTCAAACATACGTTAATTTTTCCTGTCAAGTCCTATACGATTTTGAAGGTTCATTTTCGCATTCTTGACCGTCCACATTCACTAAGGTCAAAGTAGGTATACATACTACTCATAGTAGGATCACTACATGACCAGATCCTACCTACTGCCAGATAGTTGTAACAGACGTATCTGTTTTAAGGTATGTCACAGGTACCTGAAGATGTTGCGTGTGTAAGATATTGCAAAAATACATTTTTGCCAAGTGTCACTGAATTCGGCTGTTTTGATCTTGAGGTTAACTCCTATAACAGAACAAACAAATTTCCGTTTTATTTCACGTCGTATCATAAACAAATTATAGACATATTAGAAAAAACCGATTATATGAAAGGATCAAGGTCTATAAGGGTGTTCGGTCATAAAAATAACTCGCACCTACGGAACTCTTGCGTTTAAATATTTAAAAACATATTCCCGTCAACATTTTTCTTTTCACTTTTGCACTAGATTGTTCTTTAAAAGCTCAAAGTTTGGAATTTTGACATTTTTGTAGGAATTAAAAGCATTTTCAATTATTTAACTTTAAACAGAAGCTTCATCTCATTCTTGTTGCAATTTGTCATATATTTGAAGTAAGCGCTGCGTTAATGCACTCATAGAAAAAATAATAGTTAAATATTCGAGAATGGATTAAATTTGGATAAAAATTCGGAAGTTTCAAACCTTGGGATTAAAAAAAAAACAATCAAGTACTGAGAATTTGAAAAAAATGGCGAAAGCTCAAAATACGTATGTTCTAAAATATTTAAATGCAAAAGCTTCTTAAATTTGATTAAATTGAAATTTTAATTATTTTCATAGATCTTGATCCTTCAAAGGTTTTGTTTTTAAAATATTCGGTTCATTAGGCGTTGTATTGCTTTTTCTCACATTAGTTCACAATTTGAAGAAGTACGACCATATGAATTTTAACCTGTATTTAGTTTTTAAAATATTAATTAAGAAAGCTGACAAATCCGTACATTTCGTAGTAATCAAGCGCTTGGTGTGAAAACTAGGTACGATCAAAGAACTGATTGAGGAGGAATTTTATCTCGAACTGTCGCACTACTCCCACGCTAAAAAGAAGCAAATGAGAAGAGTTTAATGTGTGTGCCTTAGTATCTCTGCACCTACATC